TTGGCCTTCACTTATGAAAAATAATCCGAATTGAATTGAATTGATAAACTAACCCAGATATAGTGTACTGACAAACAAATCCCACTACCTTGATATTGCAGGTATGGGTGGGTCAGTCTGAGGCACGGTAATTAACTGTGTAGAGTTGTGTCCCTTTGGCATATCAGGATCCAATGGTCCCAGATTTGCTCTGATGATGATCCTTAACCCTGAACAGTTGGTCTCACCAAAGTGGTAAACGCTGACGACCTGCATCACTTTGGACTTTCCTCCCACATTGATCTAACACACTTTGATAATGTGTAGTACATACCTGTCACTACAGTACACTTATGTTCTTAATTAGGCGATTCATTTTTTATGTTGGTTTACAGATCCGCTGACGTGAAAAATAGCAAAATGAAAATAAATTTAAAATGACTTGTCTGATATTTTGTTAGTATAAGAATAAATAATAAGATAAGTTAACTTGAAATATCACATAATTTATTTTCATTGCGAAAAACGCAGTGTTTTCCCCCAAAGTTTGTGCGATGTAGACCGATTAGAGTTACGGCCCTTCATTATGACGCAGTCATTCAGTTTGTGGGTTCCATTTACGATATGTTTACATGCCATATGGTAATGAAAACAAGATTTAAGAAGCACACAATTGAAATATGTTGTTTTGGTTTGGTTTTCTCAACCAAAGACACTGTAAGAACAAACCAAAATTCTCTAAACCAACTAAGAAAAAATTAATCTGCAAGCAAAAGTTGTCTCCATTGCCAATCAGCAGCATTTCTGTTCTTGTCACCAGTGGAAGTTTTCAGCCTGTAAATTCACTGTAAGTAACCAAGTTGCGATATAATGAATCAATTTCAAAGGTACACTGGAGTGCATTACCGGTAATACCATGTTTGACTGTGTCTGAGATTGGAAGTTTCTCTATTGTTAATAAAACTGTGTGCTTTTCTTTGTATTATTCGTGTGACAGGAAACAGTGCTAATGTCTGCCAAGTTACTGCATGTATTGTTGACAATACTGTATGTATTGTGTATCTGAGGTTGACAGTATCAGAGGTTGACAGTATGGTATCGGAGGTTGACAGAATTGGTATCAATGCTGAGAATGCAGCACTGATAGTTGTAATTTGTGAGTAGAAGGTTGGAAGGAGAATGTAATATTGTTGCTTTTTACACAATTAAAAAATAATTACATTAATCTGTATTGTTTGTTATGACAACTGCATGTTTTTTTTGTTTTATACATTTTATTTCACCTTTTCCCTGTTACATGAGGAGGATGGCCATCCAGGGCAATGGTCACCCTCACATTCTGAAGACGATGTATGTATACATTTGGGGAAAATTAAATACAAGTATTGGAAATAGTGCCATGGTGATTTTTAAGAAATATAACAGAACATACACACAGTCAAGCATTCAAAATATTATTCAAACACTGATCCTGGCCAGAAACAAATATGAGAAAGAGATACATATGTTATTGCTGTTCTGCTTCTTCAAACGACAACTGCATGTTACCATGGAAGACCACAGTGGAAGAGAAAGACCAACATACTCCATGATTGTCATGGCAACTCCGATGTCCCAAAGGCTGCCGTGTGTTACAATACATGCTTGTGTGACAACCAGGAAAGACCATATCCACGTAAACTGTTTCCTGGACCACTACCAGAACAGACCATAGCCATCACTTTCAAGCTGTGTAGGGGCGGTCGGGTAGCCTAGTGGTTAAAGTGTTCGCTCGTCACGCCGAAGACCCGGGTTCGATTCCTGACATGGGTACAATGTGTGAAACCAATTTCTGGTGTCCCTCGCCGTGATATTGCTGGAATATTGCTAAAAGTGGCGTGAAACCATACTCACTCACTCAAGCTGTGTATGTGGGTCAGTGATGACACAGGTAACAGTGATACACCAGTAATCTCTCGGGTAGATCCGGGGAAGAATAGGTCTTCAGCAACCCATGCTTGCCATAAAAGGTGTCTATGCTTGTCATAAGAGGCGACTAAGGGATCGGGGAGTCAGGCTCGCTGACTTTGTTGACGCATGTCATCGTATCCCAATTGTGTAGATCGATGCTCATGTCAATCACTGGATTGTTTGGTCCAGACTCGATTATTTACAGACCGCTGTCATATAGCTGGAATATTGGTGAGTGCGGCAAAAAATAACAAACAAACAAACCCCATGGTTAACTCCCAAAACACACATCCGCTGAAGTTGTCTCTGACTGGGGTACACTTGCCTCTACAGAACCCAGCAGACATTGTCTCCCTGTACTTTGTCCAAGGCATACAAGGGGCGGTCGGGTAGCCTAGTGGTCAAAGCTTTCTCTCGCCACGCCGAAGACCCGGGTTCGATTCCCGACATGGGTACAATGTGTGAAGCCCATTTCTGGTGTCCCCCGCCGTGATTATGCTGGAATATTGCTAAAAGCGGCGTAAAACCATACTCACTCACTTACTCCAAGGCATACAAGCAGCCATCAAGGGAATATAAAAATATGATAGGAAAGTGCATTTCTGACACTCATGATATGTTTGATCTAGAAATAGAGCAACAACACAAGGGCCTGGGGTGATAACAATTAAACTTTAAATACAGATGTTAAATTTGAGATAAAACATCACTTGACATGATGATTTACCGTTAAAATAGTACTTCCTGTTCATCTAGGCATTATTTTATAGGCAAAGATTACGATTGCTGTGTGTATTGTCTCATAAACTAAGCCGGAAGCCGCAGTCAGCTGTACACACATTCTCGGAATCTACGTTTAAATAGTACTTCCTGTTCATCTAGGCATTATTTTATAGGCAAAGATTACGATTGCTGTGTGTATTGTCTCATAAACTAAGCCGGAAGCCACAGTCAGCTGTACACACGTTCTCGGAATCTACGTTTAAATAGTACTTCCTGTTCATCTAGGCATTATTTTATAGGCAAAGATTACGATTGCTGTGTGTATTGTCTCATAAACTAAGCCGGAAGCCACAGTCAGCTGTACACACGTTCTCGGAATCTACGGGTGATTCGGTTAAACATTACCCAATAATATAACTTTAAAGAAAGAATTGTATTTGAAACTATTATTTTATCAGGAAAAATATATTCCAACATCATGTTATTTTCGTTGCAGCTTTACTATATATATTTCAAATAAATTATAAAAAGACAAGACCCAGTTAGGCCGGCCTCCGCCTCCACCTCCGGTGTCTAGCCGGGAGCGCCACATTTCAGAAATGGCTATTGCCGGTAGGGCCACATTTTCAGCTGAGTGCATTTCACCTATTCTAGCGGGTAATTAATTAATCCGATTACCGATACCTTTAAATGAGTGTCCCACATTTAAATTACTAAGCGTGGTGTTCTTTAGAGATACCTTTAAATGAGTATCTCACATTTAAATTACGAAGCGTGGTGGTACATTTTATGCCTGTCCCAAGTTGTTTGATCAGATTTATTGTTTACATGCTGAGGTGTTTGGCCATATGTTTCCATTAGTTTACTGTTTGTTGTCCAATCGAAAAAGATGAGTGAGATGGAATATGCTGACCACGTGGGCGACCTCCTTCATCTGCAGTTATGATCCATTATGATATTCATATGCTATTCATATTCATCAATGTAAAGTTCTGATGAATATGTTATCCTTGTTGAATAAGAAATGAGAAAACAAGACTTGTTTTGTTATATACGGTAACCTGTTAGAATCACAAAGCATGTTTTGACAGCATAGCCGTGAGAGCCACATTATACAATCACGCAACCATAACCATTGCCGGGAGCGCCACATCAATTTGGGCTATCTACCATGCATGAGAGCGGAACTTGAAATTAAGACAAGGTGGAGGTACTGGTTTCCTGTTAAGTGAACCCAACCCCTGCACCAACTTGCACTTCAACAGCGTTTCCAGTGAGGTGAGGTGAGGTGAAATTGGGATTAACGTCGCGTCCAAGATTATTGCACTTATACAGCGACGTGCATGTACGTGTGTGTGTTTGTGTGGCTGCTTGTACTAGCCCGGACTGATGCCGATTTATAGTGCTAGCACACTGAGATACCATGCCGCAGTTTAACACGAATACCCCACTCAGACACAGTATACTGACTCCGAGCCAACCAGTCCTTGTTTTAGCCCCTTAATGCCAAGCGCCAGACAGGGTAACAACAAGTACCATCTTTTAATGTCTTTTGGTATGACGCGGCCGGGGATCGAACCCCGGACCTTCCGCACTCCGGGCGGACGCTCTACCACAAGACCACGGAGGCGGTCCATTTCCAGTGAGGCATGATATTAACTTTTAAAAAGCTTATTCTTATAGTTTCATGGGTGTTGTCTTATAAACATTTGCTCTCTTTGTCTTCCAGAAATGACTAATATCAAGCAAGAGTGAGCATAATTTGGGTCCTTTTAGAAGGACTTTTGAAATACTTGAACCTGTTTCTGTTTTCATTTCATTCAGTAATTCAGATCATACAGATGTCTTTTCCAGGTGCACGAGTGGCCGATTGATCTAAAGTGCTGCAACTTATTATCCACTAATCACAGGTTCGAATCCCATGATTTTAAAAGCACTATATTGATGCTCGTGTGTGAGTGAACATCTATGAGATGGGACAGGATATATCTTTATTTGAAATGGATAACTAATCAAGTCTGGACCAGACAATTTAGTCATTGATATAATGGGCAATGATCCACGCTGTCTGGTACAATGACTCCTATCAACCAAGTACCCAAGTCCTACTCAAGTCTTTGTTGCCTCTCAAATGTCTCAAGAAAATATTTCAAAGGGAGTTTGAGTTGAGCTGCAGAAAGAAAATGTGACGGACAGACAATCTGATTAAGATAAGATCTTAGTTCTCGCTACAAAGCTCTGATTTTAATCAGATTGGATGGACAGGGTAGTTTGTTATTCAGAGAAAACGGACAACTGAAATTTCTACATCCCAACCTTATTGTGGACAAAACACAAACATCAAGACAAACATTATGTTATATTTATTAAATTCAAAATCTTACAAATTAGCTACATTTACTAGAAACCAAGTTTATATTCTGTACAAAAGAGAAAAATATGAGATGCTAGGTGACAGCATTTTTTTTATGACAACTACAAATGGCAGTTTCATTCTGGTACTTCAATGTGTGATTGTTCAATGTGACACTTACTTGTTGCATGACTTAGAATAAACTGCAAAAACGGTAATATGGACATGTTGAAAAGACAAACTTTGGGAAAGGAAATTATTAGCTTCCAGAGACTTAAATAAACATTGGCGAGAGTTGAGTTGGTGCGCCAGTTCCTGTCACAGTGGGATGAGTGAGTGAGTGAGTTGGGTTTAACACCGCTTTTAACAATATTCCAGTTATATCGCGGCGTGTCAGCTTAATGTGGGAGGAAAGCTCGAAGTGATGCAGGTCTCAGGCTTTTACCACTTCGGTGAAACCCACGGGCACGGGTATGGTGCTGACAAACCTAGAAACATAATCGGGGCGAACCGGGATTCGAACCTGATCATTGATGCAAACAACCTTGCTGACACCCACAAGCATGAATTCGCTCATCACGCCAAAGACCTGGGTTCGATTCCCGACATGGGTACAATGTGTGAAGCCCATTTCTGGTGTCCCCCGCCATGATATTGCTTGAATATTGCTAAAAGCGGCGTAAAACCATACTCACTCACTCACTTGCAAGCATGTGAGTGTTGCTGACCAAGGGTTATAATGAGGGTTGAATCTGGTGTTTCAGTTATCATACGTGGATCCTGGCATGGCTAGGGGATATAACTCTGCATGGCAAACTGCAAGACCTTATATCTCACTTGGCCACCTATGACTATGAAATCAATACAAGTTGTGTTCATGTTAGAGGAAAAAATGGGGGGGGATGGCCCCCCCTCCACCCCTCCACCCCCAAGTTTGTGTTGTTCTCTGTTAACCAGCCTCACATACTGATTAGAATAACGTAAACTGCCTTACAATACTTATCAAATTAAAATCCAAAAATCTAAAACATATTCCGATAAGTTTTTAACATGTTAAAGAGTAAAACACATTTCAACAAATATCATTTCCTTACATCAAGCTGTTGTTTTACTAATAAAACAGTTGACACTAATATAACAGGTGCATGTAGTAAAAGATAAAACACCATTGCAAACAAATTCAAAATAAATAAGCATTTCGCCATATGCTTTAACACTCAGGTAAGAAACAAGAATAAAAACAAGTGGTTTCCAGGTTTTCCTTTGGAATTGTACAGACCTGATTTTAGGAATCTTATTTTACACCCCAAAGCAGAAAAAGGTTTCTTAAGTTTTCTTTCATTTTGTTTTCATGACATTGTTTTAGCCTTACAAATAAATATCTCTTAATAAACACTACAAGCATCTGTCAAACAAACAGCACTCGCTATTATCAATGATTATATGTTTTCAGACATCAAACATTTTTGGCGTCCATGTTTTTTGCGATTACACGCCCCATAACAAGGGGTATGGTGTCACACTGGCATTGCAAATGCACCGATGGCCCTGTCTTTTAAAGATTACATACTGTATTCAATGTGAGGCCAAGTGTAGCTTTTGTGTTTTTCATCACCCACCGGTCCAAAAGTATCCCCCCCCAAAAAATTAAACATGTTCTGATATCCACCATTCACCAGTTTGAATATATATTTTCCCACCCTGGAAACACACTGTGATACAACAGAAGATTTGCTGTTTAATGCTGCACTAGTCAATATTCCAGCTGTATGATGATTGACTCATGATGTCTAACACTGAATTGTCTGGTCCAGACTTGATTATTTACAGACTGCTGTCATATAGCTTAAATATCTCCGAGTGCAGTGTTAAACAACAAACAAACAAACAAACAAACAAATAAATTCGAAAAACTCTGAACATATGTAAAACAGCTTCCACTTTGTTCAACACAGTAAAAGCCCCATTATTTCATTATAAACTTAAAATAAAAAAACTGCAGACCGGCAGGTAATGTGTTATGTTACAGCTGAATTTAGTTTTTAAAATGGTGGGCATTGTTGGAGGCGGGCATGAAACACGTTGAAACTGTTATGATGATGATGATGATGGAATTCCTGCGATGAGAGCATGTGAGGATCAGTTTGACTATCTTCATCATGTAGGACAGATGGGAGTTTCCGTCAAGAAAATAAATTCTTTTCTCTTCTTCAGCATCGCTATAGCATACTGGAGTCCACATCTGTAAGGACAACAAGAGAATAGCATCACCCTGGGAACAAGTCGCTATCTGTGCATGACACAGGTTCTAAAATACATGATATATAGATGAGAGTGAAATGGTCGTCACTACACCGCCTCTGTATCGGAAGGCTGGAGGTGCAATTCATGGTGCATCATACCAAAAGATGTTAAAGTGAGTGAGTGAGAGAGATTTTACGCCGCTTCTAGCAATATTCCAGCAATATCACGGCTAGGGCTTCACACATTGTACCCATGTCGGGAATTGAAACCGGGTCTTCGGCGTGACGAGCGAACACTTCAACCACTAGGCTACCCGACCACCCCGAAAGGTGTTAAAAGATAGTACTTGTTGTTACCCTGCCTGGTGCTTGGCATTAAGGGGATAAGACAAGGGCATGTCGGCTCGTGTCAGCATGCTGTCTCAATGTCGGGTATGCACATGCAAGCACACACGCATATGTATATCACCATATGATATTATAAGTGCAACAATATTGAACGCGACATTCAAACCTCACTTTGTCATAACCCTAGTGTTACAAATCAAATGTTTAAGGGGTCTCTAGATTCCGATAATACAGGAGCTAATCGCAAGGACTCCCTTACTTTGGAACACTGACAACATGATAGGTTGGTGACAGCTTGGGTTTGTGGAGTAAAATATCTGATTTTAGTCATGGTAATGACATTGCTGAGACATCTAGGGGGATATCTGTATGACATCTCTATGAGGGGCAGAATGAAGGGAAATCTCCTATAAAAATTGTTAGGAATGAATGTAGTTTTATGCCAGTCAGCAATTTTTCAGTAATATTTCAGCAATATTTCAGCAATATTTCAACTACATGTCAGTAATATTTCAGCAATATTTCAGCTACATGTCAGAAATATTTCAGTTACATGTCAGCTACATGTCAGTAATATTTCAGCAATATTTCAGCTACATGTCACTACATGTCAGTAATATTTCAGCAATATTTCAGCTACATGTCAGTAATATTTCAGCAATATTTCAGCTACATGTCAGTAATATGTCAGCAATAAGTCAGTAACATCACATCGGCCAGTAAATATGGACCAATATGATTGAAGGCTAGAACAACAATGCATGCCATCGGGTCCCCATGACACACAAACAGACATAGCCTGACCCCCGATAGATCGACAAGCATAGGCTACTGGGGACAGATTCTACCCTGGAATCCAGAAAAGTTGCAGAAAATGTAATTTACCTCAGAATTGCAGAAAAATAATGGATATAAACTAATTTTCATAATTTTCAAGCTTTTCTATAACATTGTTACATGTTGTAATGCCCCGACATTTAAGTGAGTGAGTGAGTGAGTTGGGTTTAATGCCGCTTTTAACAGTATTTCAGTCATACCGCGTTGTGTCCGATAATGTGGGAGGAAAGCCCGAAGTGATGCAGGTTTCAGACGTTTACCACTTCGGTGAAACCCACAAGCACGGGTATGGTGCTGACAAACCTAGAAACATAATTGGGGCGAACCGGGATTCGAACCCACAATCATAGGTTTCTGGCGTGCCCTAGGGACGCAAATCTGCACAGTGAATCCCGGCGCCATAGACGGCTGGGCCACCCGTGCCCCCCCCCCAAACATTTAACATGCAATTCAAACATACAAAATATAAATCCTTCAATAAACAAAATTTAAAAATAAGCAAGATTTGACGTTCATACAGTTTGGCCCTCACTCTATGAAGGTTCATACTCCAATGAACTCACATAAAGTGAAAGTCAATTCTTAATTTGAAACAGAGGGGCCCCATCCTGCATCAACTGTAGTGCATGAGAGATACGTGCCTGAGTCGAAGTCTAGTTTTTTAGATGCAGATCCATCACCTAAACCTTCAATGTCGACATCACTTTCAGGAGCATTGAGAGCACTCAGCGTCACATCTGTAATATAAATACAGATCACAATGTTTTGCCATACAATCAATAGTGTCATGAACATGGTATTACAATCTGACATTCCCAAGATGTTAACATGTGGATAGCCTGAACTTGTGGGTGTTGCCTGTGGGTGTTGCGTGATATGTGGGTGTTGCTTGTGGGTGTTGCCTGTGGGTGTTGCGTGATGTGTGGGTAGCCTGAAGTTGTGGGTGTAGCCTGAAGTTGTGGGTGTTGCCTGATGTGTGGGTGTTGCCTGTGGGTGTTGCGTGATGTGTGGGTAGCCTGAAGTTGTGGGTGTAGCCTGAAGTTGTGGGTGTTGCCTGATGTGTGGGTGTTGCCTGTGGGTGTTGCCTGTGGGTGTTGCGTGATGTGTGGGTGTAGCCTGAAGTTGTGGGTGTAGCCTGAAGTTGTGGGTGTTGCCTGATGTGTGGGTGTTGCCTGATGTATGGGTGTTGCATGATGTGTGGGTGTTGCCTGATGTGTGGGTGTTGCCTGATGTGTGGGTGTTGCATGATGTGTGGGTGTTGCCTGATGTGTGGGTGTTGCCTGATGTATGGGTGTTGCATGATGTGTGGGTGTTGCCTGATGTGTGGGTGTTGCCTGATGTATGGGTGTTGCATGATGTGTGGGTGTTGCCTGATGTGTGGGTGTTGCCTGATGTGTGGGTAGCCTGAACTTGTGGGTGTTGCCTGATGTGTGTGTGTGTGTTGCGTGAAGTGTGTGTGTTGCGTGATGTGTGTGTGTTGCGTGATGTGTGTGTGTGTGTTGCGTGATGTGTGGGTGTTGCGTGATGGGTGGGTGTTGCCTGAACTTGTGTGTGTTGCCTGATGTGTGGGTGTTGAGTGATGTGTGGGTGTTGCCCGATGTGTGGGTGTTGCCTGGTGTGTGGGTGTTGCATGATGTGTGTGTGTGTGTTGCCTGGTGTGTGGGCGTTGCATGATGTGTGTGTGTGTTGCCCAATGTGTGGGTGTTGCCTGATGTGTGAGTTTGTGTTGCGTGATGTGTGGGTGTTGCCTGAACTTGTGGGTGTTGCCTGATGTGTGAGTGTGTGTTGCGTGATGTGTGGGTGTGTGTTGCGTGATGTGTGTGTGTTGCGTGATGTGTGGGTGTTGCCTGATGTGTGTGTGTTGTGTGATGTGTGTGTGTTGCGTGATGTGTGGGTGTCGCGTGATGTGTGTGTGTTGCGTGATGTGTGGGTGTTGCCTGATGTTGTGTGTATGTTGCCTGATGTGTGGGTGGATGTCGCGTGATGTGTGAGTGTTGCCTGAACTTGTGGGTGGTGCCTGATGTGTGAGTTTGTGTTGCGTGATGTGTGGGTGTTGCCTGAACTTGTGGGTGTTGCCTGATGTGTGAGTGTGTGTTGCGTGATGTGTGGGTGTGTGTTGCGTGATGTGTGTGTTGCGTGATGTGTGGGTGTTGCCTGATGTGTGTGTGTTGCGTGATGTGTGTGTGTTGCGTGATGTGTGGGTGTCGCGTGATGTGTGTGTGTTGCGTGATGTGTGGGTGTTGCCTGATGTTGTGTGTATGTTGCCTGATGTGTGGGTGGATGTCGCGTGATGTGTGAGTGTTGCCTGAACTTGTGGGTGGTGCCTGATGTGTGGGTGTTGCCTAATGTGTGAGTGTGTGTTGCGTGATGTGTGAGTGTGTGTTGCGTGATGTATGAGTGTGTGTTGCCTAATGTGTGGTTGTTGCCTGAACTTGTGGGTGGTGCCTGGTGTGTGGGTGTTGTCTGTGGGTGTTGCATGATGTGTGGGTGTTGCATGATGTGTGGGTGTTGTCTGTGGGTGTTGCCCGATGTGTGGGTGTTGTCTGTGGGTGTTGCCTGATGTGTGGGTGTTGCCAGTGTGTGGGTGTATTCCAGATGTGTGGGTGTATCCCAGTGTGTGGGTGTTGCCAGTGTGTGGGTGTATCCCAGTGTGTGGGTGTTGCCAGTGTGTGGGTGTTGCCAGTGTGTGGGTGTTTCCCAGTGTGTGGGTGTTGCCAGTGTGTGGGTGTATCCCAGTGTGTGGGTGTATCCCAGTGTGTGGGTGTATCCCAGTGTGTGGGTGTTGCCAGTGTGTGGGTGTTTCCCAGTGTGTGGGTGTTGCCAGTGTGTGGGTGTATCCCAGTGTGTGGGTGTATCCCAGTGTGTGGGTGTATCCCAGTGTGTGGGTGTATCCCAGTGTGTTGGTGTATCCCAGTGTGTGGGTGTATCCCAGTGTGTGGGTGTATCCCAGTGTGTGGGTGTATCCCAGTGTGTGGGTGTTGCCAGTGTGTGGGTGTTTCCCAGTGTGTTGGTGTTGCCAGTGTGTGGGTGTATCCCAGTGTGTGGGTGTTTCCCAGTGTGTGGGTGTATCCCAGTGTGTGGGTGTATCCCAGTGTGTGGGTGTATCCCAGTGTGTGGGTGTAGCCCAGTGTGTGGGTGTTTCCCAGTGTGTGGGTGTTGCCAGTGTGTGGGTGTATCCCAGTGTGTGGGTGTTGCCAGTGTGTGGGTGTTGCCAGTGTGTGGGTGTTGCCAGTGTGTGGGTGTTGCCAGTGTGTGGGTGTATCCCAGTGTGTGGGTGTTGCCAGTGTGTGGGTGTATCCCAGTGTGAGGGTGTTGCCAGTGTGTGGGTGTTGCCAGTGTGTGGGTGTATCCCAGTGTGAGGGTGTTGCCAGTGTGTGGGTGTTGCCAGTGTGTGGGTGTTGCCGGATGTGTGGGTGCTGCCAGTGTGTGGGTGTTGCCAGTGTGTGGGTGTATCCCAGTGTGTGGGTGTTGCCAGTGTGTGGGTGTATCCCAGTGTGAGGGTGTTGCCAGTGTGTGGGTGTTGCCAGTGTGTGGGTGTTGCCAGTGTGTGGGTGTATCCCAGTGTGTGGGTGTTGCCAGTGTGTGGGTGTATCCCAGTGTGTGGGTGTTGCCAGTGTGTGGGTGTTGCCAGTGTGTGGGTGTATCCCAGTGTGTGGGTGTATCCCAGTGTTTGGGTGTTGCCAGTGTGTGGGTGTTGCCAGTGTGTGGGTGTTGCCGGATGTGTGGGTGTTGCCAGTGTGTGGGTGTTGCCAGTGTGTGGGTGGTGCCAGTGTGTGGGTGTATCCCAGTGTGTGGGTGTTGCCAGTGTGTGGGTGTATCCCAGTGTGTGGGTGTTGCCAGTGTGTGGGTGTATCCCAGTGTGTGGGTGTATCCCAGTGTGTGGGTGTATCCCAGTGTGTGGGTGTATCCCAGTGTGTGGGTGTATCCCAGTGTGTTGGTGTATCCCAGTGTGTGGGTGTATCCCAGTGTGTGGGTGTTGCCAGTGTGTGGGTGTTGCCGGATGTGTGGGTGTTGCCAGTGTGTGGGTGTATCCCAGTGTGTGGGTGTTGCCAGTGTGTGGGTGTTGCCAGTGTGTGGGTGTTGCCAGTGTGTGGGTGTTGCCAGTGTGTGGGTGTTTCCCAGTGTGTGGGTGTTGCCAGTGTGTGGGTGTATCCCAGTGTGTGGGTGTATCCCAGTGTGTGGGTGTATCCCAGTGTGTTGGTGTATCCCAGTGTGTGGGTGTATCCCAGTGTGTTGGTGTATCCCAGTGTGTGGGTGTATCCCAGTGTGTGGGTGTTGCCAGTGTGTGGGTGTTGCCAGTGTGTGGGTGTTGCCAGTGTGTGGGTGTATCCCAGTGTGTGGGTGTTGCCAGTGTGTTGGTGTATCCCAGTGTGTGGGTGTATCCCAGTGTGTGGGTGTATCCCAGTGTGTTGGTGTATCCCAGTGTGTGGGTGTATCCCAGTGTGTTGGTGTATCCCAGTGTGTGGGTGTTGCCAGTGTGTTGGTGTATCCCAGTGTGTGGGTGTATCCCAGTGTGTGGGTGTATCCCAGTGTGTGGGTGTATCCCAGTGTGTAGGTGTATACCAGTGTGTGGGTGTAGCCCAGTGTGTGGGTGTTTCCCAGTGTGGGGGTGTATCCCAGTGTGTGGGTGTTTGCCAGATGGGTGGGTGTTTTCCAGTCTCTGGGTGTATCCCAGTGTGAGGGTGTTACCTGATGTGTTGGTGTTTCCCAGTGTGTGGGTGTATCCCAGTTTGAGGGTGTTACCTGATGTGTGGGTGTTGCCAGTGTGTGGGTGTTTCCCAGATGTGTGGGTGTTGCCAGTGTGTGGGTGTTTCCCAGTGTGTGGGTGTTGCCAGTGTGTTGGTGTTTCCCAGATGTATGGGTGTTGCCAGTGTGTGGGTGTTTCCCAGATGTATGGGTGTTGCCAGTGTGTGGGTGTTTCCCAGATGTATGGGTGTTGCCAGTGTGTGGGTGTTTCCAACATGTATGGGTGTTGCCAGTGTGTGGGTGTTTCCCAGATGTATGGGTGTTGCCTGATGTGTGGGTGTTTCCCAGATGTATGGGTGTTGCCTGATGTGTGGGTGTTTCCCAGATGTATGGGTGTTGCCTGATGTGTGGGTGTTTCCCAGATGTATGGGTGTTGCCAGTGTGTGGGTGTTTCCCAGATGTATGGGTGTTGCCTGATGTGTGGGTGTTTCCCAGATGTATGGGTGTTGCCTGATGTGTGGGTGTTTCCCAGATGTGTTGGTGTTTCCCAGTGTGTGGGTGTATCCCAGTGTGTGGGTGTTGCCAGTGTGTGGGTGTATCCCAGTGTGTGGGTGTATCCCAGTGTGTGGGTGTTTCCCAGTGTGTGGGTGTATCCCAGTGTGAGGGTGTATCCCAGTGTGAGGGTGTTACCAGATGTGTGGGTGTTGCCAGTGTGTGGGTGTTACCAGATGTGTGGGTGTTGCCAGTGTGTGGGTGTTTCCCAGATGTGTGGGTGTTGCCAGTGTGTGGGTGTATCCCAGTGTGTGGGTGTTGCCAGTGTGTGGGTGTATCCCAGTGTGAGGGTGTTGCCAGTGTGTGGGTGTTGCCAGTGTGTGGGTGTTACCGGATGTGTGGGTGTTGCCAGTGTGTGGGTGTTGCCAGTGTGTGGGTGTTGCCTGATGTGTGGGTGTTTCCCAGATGTGTGGGTGTTGCCAGTGTGTGGGTGTATCCCAGTGTGTGGGTGTTGCCAGTGTGTTGGTGTTTCCCAGTGTGTGGGTGTTTCCCAGATGTGTGGGTGTTGCCAGTGTGTGGGTGTTGCCAGTGTGTGGGTGTTGCCAGTGTGTGGGTGTTGCCAGTGTGTGGGTGTTGCCGGATGTGTGGGTGTTGCCAGTGTGTGGGTGTTGCCTGATGTGTGGGTGTTGCCAGTGTGTGGGTGTTGCCTGATGTGTGGGTGTTTCCCAGTATGTAGGTGTATTCAAGATGTGTTGGTGTTTCCCAGTGTGTGGGTGTATCCCAGTGTGTGGGTGTATCCCAGTGTGTGGGTGTTGCCAGTGTGTGGGTGTTGCCTGATGTGTGGGTGTATCCCAGTGTGTGGGTGTTGCCAGTGTGTGGGTGTTGCCTGATGTGTGGGTGTATCCCAGTGTACGTGTGTTTCCCAGTGTGAGGGTGTATCCCAGTTTTGTGGGTGTATACCAGTGTGTGGGTGTATCCCAGATGTATGGGTGTTGCCTGATGTGAGGGAATATGATTGGAATACAACTGATACAATTGTACACAGCCCCAACAGACACACACACACACACACACACACACACACACACACACACACACACACACACACACACACACACACACACACACACACACACACACACACACACACACACACACACACACACACACACACACACACACACCTTCCCCAAACCCTTCCCTACCCATCAGAGCTTGTAGATTCTCCCCCTCACCTGATGTTTTCTGTTTCTTGGTCTGAGGTTCATGCGTCACGTGGTGCGTTACTATGTGCTTGACGACTGTCTTTGTCGGCGATGTCTCCACAGTGGGTTGTATGCCAGCATCCTCAAATGCCTTCCGTTTCAACTGATTTTTTATTTGAGAACTGAAACGGTAGAAAGAGTTTTATCCAGCAACAACTTCACATAATCATTGGGACCGCAGGGTATTACCTGGACACCAGTATACAGCAAGGTGCTTTTCAAATGATAGGTATTGCAATATTCTTTCCGTGTACCAGTATATTGGGTTAAGAGAATACATGACAAGGTCTGTTTTTATCTATAACATTTAACCATGTCAGCCTGAAATCTACAAGAATTTCATTCACAAATGGTATTTCCCTTCGAAATTGATCAAAAAAAATAAATGAAGAGAGTTATTTCTCTCTCACATTGTTATCCCCTGTCTCCATGACTACAAAACAGAGACACCAGACCATGGAGGCATCAGTGTCAATCACTGTCAAACACTAAAGCTCCCAATATATCGTAGTACATATCACAATACAGAAACCTTTATCGAAATACATTGTACTAGTTTGTAGAATAAATTAAAAAGGGAATCCAACTCAAGTCCAGAATGATTTGCCAAGTCTTGATTGCCTCAGCTCTAGTTCTGAAATTATACATCATTCTGGGCTCCATTTGGATTTATGTTTGTTTTGTTTGTATGTTGTTTAACGCCGCATTCAGCACTATTCCAGCTATATGACGGCGGTCTGTAAATAATCGAGTCTGGACCAGACAATCCAATGATTGACATCATGAGCATCGATCTACTCAATTGGGATATGATGACATGCATCGACCAAGTCAGCGAGCCTGACTACCCGATCCCGTTTGTCGCCTCTTACCACAAGCATAGTCGCCTTTCACTGCAAGCATGGGTTACTGAAGACCTATTCTACCCCGGATCTCCACAGGTCAAAATACATAGTAATACAAATCTTTTGCCAATACACAGCCATCATAATCATACTGTATCTGGGCTACAGCTGAGGGGTTCCTAGGCAACCTTGTGAAACCAGGGCACGATTTAGCCATATAAAACATGCACCAGTGCAACCTAATATTTATGTAAAAATGCACCAAGTGTACGTAAAAAATATTTCAAATTTGTGTCTGATTAACCCTTACCTGTCCCCACAAAACTGATCTTTGAATTGAACACACTCAATACTTCTAAAGCTTATTGAGCATACTCCCTATGTTACAAGTGTGTTAGAACTAAACTCAAAGCTTTAATAGCCTGTTTGAAGATAAAATGCCCTTGTAATTGTAGCGGCAATAATATTTCCGAGTCCCGTGATGGGATTCGAACCACGGACCTTCTGATCAGAGGTCGGATGCCTTCTCCACATGACCAAAGAGGTTAACCCTGTCAGCAAGCTGACAAGGTAAGGATGTCATCTGTGCATGGGATGACTCCACGCCCTGCTACATCCTCCCCCGTCAACAGAAGGCACGTCCCGGGCCGCATAGTAGGGTACTGAGGCTTATTTTGCTCAAATTTAATATGAACGTGCTCAGCCCCACGTTGGGCGCCAATGTAGCGGCCATAAAATCTCTGAGTCCCGTGATGGGATTCGAACCAAGGACCTTCTGATCAGAGGTCGGACACCTTGTCCACATGACCAAAGGGGTTAACCCCGTCAGCAAGCTGACAAGGTGAGGATGTCATCTGTGGGATGTTAAAACAATACGGAAATTGGGAAATTTGTTCCAGCCACGGACAAGTGGGCAAGTGTTAAGTTTAAACCCCGTTTCTTAGACTTGAAGTCATCAAACTGTGGATGCTTCCTATTATGTTTTACAGCAATTCATCATTTATTTATGTGATACTGGCAGCAGACTCGCCTATGTTTCAACCTTGCAAAATGTATGAGACCAGGTGCAACCTGGCCTTGTTTGGTGCAACTTGGCCTTGTTTGGTGCAACTTGGCCTTGTTTGGTGCCACTTGGTTTTCATGTCAACATGCACCTGGTTAAATAACAATCTGTAGACCGAAGATACATCTTGATCTATCTTGCACCAACAAGTAGACATTTATCAAAAATATTTCTGATTGAAACAAGTGACATGCTGTTTCACCTTGACCTTGTTCAGGTGACCTTCAACCTGCATCTGTTCAAGCGTGATCAGCATGTGTCACATATCGTATAGAACTTATCCAGCTGCTCAAATTAGCACTTATGGAAATACACGTACTGTAATCATGTCAGTGAATCAGTAAATTTAAAAACAACAAATTTTGTGTTACCATCACCCTGTCACTTGACCCACACTTAAAAATCACACAAGAGTGATACACTCATTTACAATAACATTAGGAGTGAGTGAGTGAGTGAGTGAGTACTGAGTGAGTGCTTTAACATCACTTTCAGCAATATTCCAACAATATCACGGTGGGCAACTCCAGAAATGGGCTTTACACATTAGGCCAGGTCTTTTTCATTTTTAGGATTACAGATTTTTCATCCCAAAGTCCAGGGTTGGAGGAGGGGGAAAAAAGAAAAAAAAGCCAGATTAATTTTTTTTGAATTCAGAATGCCTCTGGCATCTTTTATGAACATATTCTGTGCTCAAAAGACCACCATTTGTGATGATAAATCCCCTTGTAACAATAAAAATTCTACCACTTACAACACGGACAATTGCCAAGGGAGGCTATTCATGTTCGGCTACGAGATCAACAAAGAGCAATTATGTATCTCTTTACTAGTTTACAACGCTAAATTCATGTTATTTTTATTAAAAGCTGATAATCCCCCACAAAAATAGCTGACTACGTGGCTATCGGCAGGGAAAAAAATATGGAAATCTGATTTTTTCTTTTTACATTTTCTCAAATATTAGAGTCGGCGGGTCTGTAGTCCGAAAAATCTAAAACGCCTGACCTTATACCCATGTTGGAATTGAAGCAGAGTGATGAGTGAAAGCTTTAACCACGAGGCTACCCCATCTTCCCTTAACATAAGAACATGGAAGACACACGGTCTGTGCACCAATCACAGCATATCATGCACTACCTTCAAACAATCAGTTCAAAAGACTTTTCCCTGACAACTGTCGCAAATTTGGTGCCGAATACCAGCCTCTGGGCAGGTCTTGAGAAATCAGAACAGTGTTGTTATACTAGTAGGTTTTGAAATTGTTCACACATATTTGTACACAGGCAACTGTTGTTTAGTTGGGTAATACTGATTGTCTGGATTACTGAACAGACTAAACACAATTTGACAAGTCCACATACATGACATAGTTGCAATGTTTTAAACCATTGTTCCTTGGGAGTGTTCCGCAGCTTTGGAGTGTCAAAGTAATTCATCCTATGTCGCCATGTATGCGTCATCAAAACAATTAATAAAATGTATACTTACATAGTTCTATTCTTTATAACTTCACTAATTTTGTTGAGATCATCTCCAAACTTTTTAACAGCCGATCTGAGCATTTCAATTTCATTGTCTGTCCATTTTCCACTGTTAAAAACAAAATGTTAGTTGTTAGTAAAGTGCAATTCAACAAAAAGATCAGGGCTTGTATTTCTGGCATCTGATATTAATGGTATGTAAACAGTTATCAAGTTATACGACATTAGGCGTGACTGTTGGGGCTATTTTCACTATTGCGATAGCATTGCAATAGTACCCAAAACCACTGCAATAGTATTGCGATAGTATGAAACAAAGTATAAGGCTTAATAATTATATTAATCAGTGAAATAGAAATGAACACAATTTTGTCGACAATGTCAAAGTCAGCCATTTTCACGCCTGTCGCAACTCAAACCAAGGGGAAGTAACTCTAATCATTGTCCTAATCCTTGCTAATCCACACATGACAGGTTTAAAATTACCTGACACATAATTTATGTTTTATTTATAACAAATTGCAACTATTGAAACTATCAACTGTTATGCACACTATTGAAAATACTATCGGTGTTTTTACATTCCTATCGATCTAGTGGTCGTTTGATATATCTTTACATTCCTATAAGATATACCGTATTCGATGTAATAAGCGCCCCGCTCTAATAAGTGCCCACGGCGACATTTGCTAATATATTGGCTGGTGAACAAGCCCAATTAGCACCCCTTCCGATTGATCAATGTGCACAAGACTTATTTATTCGCATATAATACGCACTCATGTCTTATATGCACCCTTAATTATGGGCAATTAAATTCTGGAAAAATATATCTGTCGTACATAAACACTTCAGGCTGTCAGCATAAACCACGAAATTTATCTTTCAACTCTGTTTTTTTCACCAAAATAATATTCTAATAAGAGCCCCCTATTTCTAATTTTGAGAGCGCCCTGGGCGCCTATTACGTCGAATACTGTATTTGTTTTATCATTGTCTATAACCTACAGAGTAAATTCAAGTGGGGTAACGATACAGCGGTATAGTATTGTATCTCGATTTGAGGCCCACTATACAACACATGAATTGACAACCCTGTATTGCTATACATATAATACATTACAAGTTACATTGGTGTAAAAACGTGAATAATAATAGAAACTGTTCAACAACCAGCTGATGCAGGTTCTCTAGTATTTCCTTGTTTGCTTTAAATAGCCAAACATTTACACTGCCCTATAGCCTGTATGTTTTTTGCCCTATAATATCCCACTTTGATCTCTGAAATTTAAAACAAATGATTCAGGGTTCACCTTTAACATTGTTCAAAAAGAAAGAATATCAATTTACAAAATCAAAGTACTGTATCAGGTAGGGCTGGGACGGGTAACTCAGGTACCCGGGTCGGGTGGGTACAGAGTAGGACCCGGGTACCCATAGGACTACCCGGACCCGTGGTTAATCACGTGATATATTGTCTAATGACTAAAATTATCTGGAACTCTATAGTTACACTATAAGTCACTAGTGTTCGCTTTTCGTTCTGACCATGCACCCATTCCTTCTGATTTTTCATACGGTTGAATAAAGATATAACTTAAGTCAACTTCAGTGTATGCATGACCAGATTGTTTAATACATGTATCTAAATACGTTTTGCCAGGGCTATGCTAAAAATATTTCCAATCGGACATTTTGAGACATCTCCTGAGACCTAGAGTGGGTACCCGGGTAGGGTAGGGTAATAGGGGTGCAGGTACCCGGGTAGTAAATTTGGACACGTCCCAGCCCTAGTATCAGGGTACATATCATTTCAAAACCCCACCATATCGTTACACATCTTTGTAATTTTCATCATGTGTTTTCATAATGATTATGATTAACATCAATAGCTTTCGCCAATACATAAAATAACCATAATAAACATAATATTGAGTACATTTCATAGTTGGAGTGACAATCATTCATGATCATGGACTGATGTTTATTCAGTTACCATGGTTACCATGGTCACACAGCAGTTATCAAATGATAAAAAGAAGGTTTTCAAAAACCTAGACTGAGGTAGGCATGTTAGGAGATAAACATACTGTGATTTCAATGTAGAGCTAATTAGCATGAAGATTTAACTCAACTAAATTGAATTTGGAACCGTAATGTTAAATGTTAAATATAGCACAGTTAAAGCTAGAGGTAACCTAGCTCTTTAAATACACAGTATGTGTTTCCATTCTACCATGACTAAATAAAACGCAAACGCATGTTAGCCATGATATTGAGTGAGGCGGCATGGGTTGAGTCCAATGTTTTCAGCAGGTCACTAAAGGTGCTGTATATGCTCAAACTTTGTCTTTTTTATCATTATCATGATTATACTTTACTCGCATATAAAACAGGCACCGAAAGTGTGAAGCAGAGCATAAGCCAACATGAGTGAGTGAGTGAGTGAGTGAGTATGGCTTCACACCGCTTTAAGCAATATCACGATAGGGGACACCAGAAATGGTAAGCCAACATGAAGTGGGCACTCCTGAAGAATATGAAGCAAGCCTTGCAGGGTTTAATTCTACACTGCACATCACTAATATGACATCACGTCCCTCATAATGACACAGTTAATATGACGTCACGGTTGGCGATATTATGAGTGAGTTGGGTTTAACGCCGTTTTAACAGTATTACAGTTATATCACGGCGTGTCAGCTTAATGTTGGAGGAAAGCCCGAAGTGATGCAGGTCTCAGACGTTTATCACTTCGGTGAAACCCACGAGCACAGGTATGGTGCTGACAAACCTAGAAACATATTGGGGCGAACCGGGATTCGAACCCACAATCATAGGTTTCTGGCGTGTCCAGGGGACGCAACTCTGCACAGCAAATCGCAGCGCCTTAGACGACTGGGCCACCCGTGCCCCCTACGGTTGGCGATAGAAAAGGGACAGATTTCAAGCACTCTGCAGTGCCTGAAACATGAATACACCCCCTTATTTGATTTCTATGGTGTTTTTTGTTTGATTGTTGTTTAACGCCGCACTCAGCAATATTCCAGCTACATGACGGCAGCTGTAAATAATCGAGTCTGGACAAGACAATCCAGTGATTGACGTCATGTGCATCGATCCACGCAATTGGGATACAATGACATGCATCAACCAAGTCAGCGAGTCTGACCACCGGAGTGTTTTCTGTCCAGAATGTATTGTCGCATGTAGTTTGAATATACCGCATTCGATGTAATAAGCTCTTATAAGCGCCCACGGCGATATTTGCTAATATATTGGCTACTGAACAATCCTAATAAGCACCCTTCGGATTGATATTTTGTACACAAGACTATTTATTCGTGAATAATACATGTGCTATATGCACCCCTTATAATGGGCAATTAAATTCTGGAAAAATAATATCTGTCGTATATAAACATTTCAGGCTGTCAGCATAAACCACGAAATTTACGATCTTTCAACTCTGTTGTTTTTCACCAAAATAATATTCTAATAAGAGCCTACTGATAATAACCATGATGATGGTGAAAGAAGAACGTTTCTATAAATATTATCTTGTGCAGTCAATACAGATGTTTAAATAAGAGGTGGTTATTGTCATTTGAGACCTCTGATTGACCAACCAGAATCAAGTAATTTCCAAGTTCATGGTAAAATGTAGGAATAATAAGCTTTGTTCAAAATTCAGCCTGAAAGTAGTTGAGTCCTTGTTACCATGGTAATAACCCTTATGTTAAAAGTTGAAATTAAGGGGATTCCAAGCTTCAAATACACCCCAGTGTAAACACTGACTGCCCAATCAAAACTAAAGGGTGTCAGAGCCAATCAGGTATCATCTTTCTGAAATGATTTGGCTTCACTCCACTCCTAATATGCTCATCATGGTCCATCAGGTTTGTCTGGTTTTCATAATGCTCATGTAGAGATGTATCAAATCTGTGCAATAGATGATTTTTTGCTAAAACAAAAAATGTTCTTGGCTCTCAGGTGAGGTGAAATGGTGTTTAACGTTGCATCCAAGATTATTGCACTTATATAGCGACATGCATGCACGTGTGTGTGTGTGTGTGTGTGTGTGTGTGTGTGGCTGCTTGTACTAGGCCGGACTAATGCTGATTTATAGTGCTAGCTCACTGAGATACCATGCCGCAGTTTAACATGAATACCCCACTCAGACACAGTATACTGACTCCGAACCGACCAGTCCTTGTTTTAGCTCCTTAATGCCAAGCGCCAGACAGGATAACAACAAGTACCATATTTTAACATCTTTAGGTATGACGCGGTCGGGGATCGAACCCCGGACCTTCCGCTCTCCGGGCGGACGCTCTACCACTAGACCATGGAGGCGGTCTTGGTTCTCAGGCACCGCTGCATCATCATTACAAAGTCCACCGCACGTTACGTGTCTGTGTAATGCTGGTTTTATAGTGTCAGCCCACTGAGATTCCATGAACAATGATGAAGCCGTTTCCATGGATACCCCACTCAGACGCAGTATACTGACCCCAAGTACCACCTCTTAATGACTTTAGGTATGACAAGGCCGGGGATCAAACTACAGACATTCCGCTCTCTGGGCAGACACTCTATCCACTAGACCACAGAGGCAGTCTTCTTTCGTTCTTCAAAACGTTATCTGAATATTTGCAAGTCTTCTAGAACTAATGACTCCAGCAACCTATGCTTGTCATAAGAGTAGTCTAAAATGGACTGGTTCAAGGCTTGGTTTAACTTTAACTTGTTTAATGATCATGATGATAGCTTAGCTAATATTTAACATGTTTAATAATAATCATAGGTTGTAATACCGTATAACTATCAACCCTACTCCCCCTTTCATTAGCATTACTTGCTAAAACTAAGTAGCGCCATGAGCAATAACTCGGTGAATGGAATCTGGCGCAGTATAAATGGACTTATTATTATTAACTCTGTGTATAAGGCGAGTTTTTCATACCTAGAAATAGGGAGCTTTCAGGGGTGGTCGTCTTATACACAGGGTTGAGGTTGTTTTTTTTTTCCCAACACAAAGACATTACTGTGAGCACGTAACACTGGAAATACCGTGTCAACAAATCCGTACTGAAGTACGCAAACAAATCACGTAATTAAACTGTCTGGTTATAAAAAGAGTTCATTAGATATCTGAACTGATGTTTGTAATCTATTTTATTAATTATTATTCAAAACTTTATTCAATATTGTTTATATTTATTTCGTCGAAATCGTATGTGAAGTGATCGGAAGATCGCACAACTCACCGAAGGCTTGTACAGAGGGGTCGCCTTATACGTGGGGTCGCTTTATAGACGGTGATATGGGGTAAGTATATTTGTAGTACTTACCTTCATGTTCTCACTTGGAGAATCTATACACTTACACAGTATATCAATTATTAATGACTTACTTATCTTTTAGCATACTTAGGGGGATTCAGAACACTTTGCTTTCAGTTTTCTCAATTCTCAAAATCATAATGCCCTAGATCTAATCATGTTCACTAATCATGCTAATCACTATTTCAAAACATTGTACCAAAAAAAGATACTATTGAGTTATACCATGTTAAGAAACAAGTACAATAATTAAGGTCTGTAGTTGCTAAACTTTTGTCCACCACTAAAAGTTGTTAGTTGAAACAGGGCAGGTGTCATCTAGCCTGACTCTACCTTCCACATACCTTGTAGGGCTTTGCTCTGTTGTTGGGTGGAGTTGCATTGTCAACTCTCCCAACTTACTGAAAGCTGATCCAGCCGCCGTAAATATTTCCCCAACCTGTAACATCATTTGAGAAAAGTTAGTGAGTGAGTCAGATTTTATGCCTCTTTAGCAATATTCCAGCATGGTCGTGGAGAGCTTGTTTGTTAACGCTATATGACGGTGGGTTGTAAATAATTAAGATTGGACCAGACAATCCAATGATGGACATCATCAGCATCAATCTATGCCTTTGGGGTAAAATGACACACATTCAACCAAGTCACCGAGTCTGACCAACCGATCCATTTGGTCGCCTCTTGCCTATTCTCACCGGCATCCCCACACAGGGGTCATGGCTGGGAAAACAGAAATGGGCTTCAAACATTTTACCAATGTGAGGAATCAGACCCATGTCTTAACTGTGACAGGGTTAGATATTGGCACTAGTCCTATAGTCCTTGCCAAACTGCCCAATAGTAAAGGTATCCTAAGGACTAGTAGAATTTTGACATTTTTAAAGGTTCTGCTATATGCTATCATTATAAGGACTAGTTGACTGAAACTGTTCGTTTCTACCGCTGTGTGATGAGTTAAAGCATTAAAGGGACAGTAGGTTGACAGTTCTGTGTTTTTAAATCATGCATGACATAATTTCTGAGTGTGACGTCACATGCCTGATTCAATTCTTAAACCAAAACAAGAGAGATCCGCACAGTGAAGCCGACAACACAAGCAGCATGCAAAGTAAACTGGCTTCAGCAATGTTTTTATTTTAGAGACATTGAAGTGAAAGATTGTGTGCTTTTCTTATGGATGAGTTATAAAATACTAACTGCCAGCTTGATAAGATTAGAAGCCAGTGTTTATCTACATTACAATATGAATATGCCTTGATCATATGAAGCCAATCACTCTCCTACCTGTAACATGTGAACTAATATTCTCTGTGCATATGTTACAGGACCAGCTGAAGGCCATGCGTATGACGTCACAGGTTGTGTACGCAGGAGGAGACAGCCATTAAAAACAGGGCTTGTGCCTCTTGAAAAGACATCAAGTGTTTGTTATGTACTCAAGAAGACATGAAACACAACCCAGAATTCCTTACAGCTAGCACTGTACCTCTGTCACATCATCACATCTTACACAGTCCATTCACATTTATCATGTTTCAACACATTTAGATCAATATAACTTTCATCAAGAAAATATCCCAACAGTGAAAAACTAGTTCCATTTGAATATTTATCCTCCACATGCTGTCATCAAGGCCCTACAGAGAGCTAGAGATAGTCACTTTTTGTCTTGCACCTCACTGTCGCAGTTGTCTACATCATTATGCAAAACAATATGTAAACTGCACAGAAGGCTTGCATTAGGCCCGTCTGTTCTTATTTCAGAATAAGTGCATTTGTTTACAAACAAGAGAAAAGTCTGGTCACATGATAAGCCTACACCTGAGGTGTGGTCACTGGAGCAGAACAGTCTGTCATGGCACCAGGCGAGCATAGCTCGGTGGTTATCGAATATTGTCTACAAACAAAGCTTCAGAACGGTCAACGCCCTGTTCCTTTAAACACTAGGTCAAGGTCAGATGTGTGCCAAAACCCGTTCTCACCATCACTCTCCCTCCATAATCGCACAAGTGGCACAATATTATGTACATCGCTTCATTCAAGCGTTTCAAGATAAACAAACGCTTCAAACACAAAAGAGTTTTCAGCATCCTATTTCAACACATCGATTAGCATTTTCACAAGATCTATATCAGTTCGATGCCTATGATTATTACCTTGCTTGCAGAACTCATAATGTGATCATCAATTCACTAACAACATACTAAAAGAGCAACAATTTATACAGAAAATTTCATTGTTTGGGTTGCATCTCCCGCGACTAACAACAGCGGAAGCGGAAACGCGCCGGTACTCTCGAAACAGTTTCTTGACGTTTGATAAAAAGTTCACCTTAAACAAAAACGTCATAAGATTGAAAAACAAGATTTAATTCCAATCTCATTAAAATAATAGTTTAGTTGTCCATTCCGCTAAACCACCTAAAACGGTGGAGAAAAAATGATATGATTGTTAAGGGATTGACTTAATTCTATTTAAATAGCAATTTTAAATAAAGTTATGTCAGTTCTCGTTTTCAATGTAGCATTTAGAAGTTGGTAAGATGACCAAGGGATTCTTTATTATAATGACTGCGACGTTTCGGTGAATATACTAACATTTCTACAAACATATCATAATGACTTAACAGACTCAAAACCATTAATCAAAGGTAATTTACATGCTTTTTCATGGAAAGACAAACCATATGTATTATAAATAGGTTTTCGTATCTTTTTTAATTCTAGGCACAACACATCTGCTGAAAAAAATGAAATTTCTAATAAAGACGTTAATTCTTATCTCTGGCTGTAGGGACATTTTTATTTGTTTTGTTTATCACTGTTTTACATTTTAAAAATGCATGCCTTATAGAAATATACTTTTTTCAAATTATTATATGGAGGGCAACGGTAATTTTATAAACTTCAAAGCAGGGTATCCAAGTTGGTCATCTTACTCCATAAATAATCATTCCTACTTTTCGATCCAAGGATTGGTTAGAGAGTAAATGTTCTATTTTTAGGTGTCCCGTGACTGCCTCCCTCAAGACTGTCAAGACACAGCTGATCGTAAACTTTGAGGGACGATTTGAATAAGTTCCATGATGACAGAGACGGAGAAATCTCCCTTATTGGGATCTCGAACTGAAGACGAAGAGGAGGAGCAACTGTCGGGATGCGGCGCTACGATATTCTGCGACCCCAGGAGGTTTCTTCACAGATACCTGGTTTTAATTGTGATGTGCTTCCTTAGTTTTGGTGAGCCGTAATTGTATTTTAATTTTTTTTTTGAATCCGACCAATTTAAGTCATAATGTAAATTGTTAAACTATTGGGCTGAATAAATATGACAAGATATTTATTTCAAGATTTTTTTCAAGATAATATTCAGCTGACTCCTCTTTCTGTACTGTCACATGACAGTCACATCAGCTTGTGGCAATCTTAAGACTGCGAGACATATATTAGATGACACACGCAATCATTTGATGATTCAGAATAGATCGAACATGTTGAGGCAAAAATTGTAAACTGGGTGGTTTATGTCATGATATAAAAGCACTCTGCAGTGTTTGTTTCCACATTGTCATTTATGTGATAACAAGGTCTGCACTCAGAAAGAGTCTGCCCAGAGAGAGTAAGGTTGGGGGTTTGATCCCGGGCCGCGTCATACCATAACACGTTAAACGATTGTACTTGTTAACCTGCCTGCGCTTATCATTAAGGGTCTGAAACTAGGACTTGTTGGCTTGGAGTCAGTATACTGTGTCTGAGAGAGGTATTCATGTTAAACTGAGGCAAGGTATCTCAGTGAGCTAGCACTAAAATTCGGCATTGTCCGGACTAGTACAAGCAGCCACACACAAACATGTGTAAGTGCAATAATCTTGAACATGTTGAACGCAGTTTGACCCATACAGTTCGGCTTGCTGGATATCATTACCTGATCTTGGTGATAATGTTTCATGTGATGTAATTTATTTGTCATCTCACAATGGACCATGTTCACACTTTGAGTCACCCTGTGATGGCTGTCACAAGATAGATCAAATTGGCACAGAAATATAATTCACTGACAAGTCTTGTCACTTGCAATGATGAATTTGTGACATGTTTGTGTCACTAGCGCATGTTCAGTCCTAAATTCCATTTATCACGGTTAAATCTACAGGAAAGCTAGCTTGACATTGAAAACGCGGTATGTTTATCTTCTGATTGACATCATTCAATTATTGACATACCACTAAAAGTGACAGGAATATATGTTTCACAAGCTACCAGGGGTGGCCCAGTTGTGTCCCTTAGTTGTACCAGAAGCCTCTGATCATGAATTCTAATCCTGGTTCGTTCGGTTCATGCTTCTAGGTTTGTCAGCACAATACCTATGCTTCTGTATGTGTCTTGACTTGCCAAAGTGTTGTAGTCTTGCTTGGGAGTTTTCAAATTAGTTTATTTCTAGTCCTGTATGAGAGACTAGCACACATACTAAGGCCAGAGACAGCCTCCATGGCCTAGTGGTAGAGCGCTCTTGGTTAACTTTTTCCTTGGAGCCATTTCACTTCTAAGCGAAAAGCTATTGGTGCCAATTGGTTTTATTAGTAGCCAGATTTATCTATACATGATATTATGTGTTTTCTTATATAAACCTGTACAAAAATAAACAATAAATAAATATTATTAACATGATAAATGTTAATCATATCATAGCAAATTTCTTGATTTGCGGCACAAAAAACAAAAAACGTTCATGCTTTTGTTAAATTGAATTCAATCGAAATCTTTCAGCCAACCTTTATGAAAAATACACATTTCACTGGCCTAGTTGACTGTTTTGCCCAGTTTTCACTATTTTTGTTGTCCCTGCACCAATTAGGTAAGCAGACAAAGCTTCACTAGTACAGATGTTTTAGCACTGGTACTGGATTCAATAGATTTGCCAGTCAAGACTCCGCTAGTAGATCCTAAACACGACTGTTTCTCTACAGGCCCATCAGAGCACGATCCCTCTTTTGTAGCTCGCCTACTTGTGCTAGATGAAACACTAAATATTGAAAGTATATTTGTCGCCATTGTCCTACCACTGACAGCGGACCTACCACGGTACTTCATGCACAACGTCACAGTAATGTAGTGAAATAGCAAAGCCTATGTTCCATGTATCATGTGTATGGAGTAGTGTTACGCTCATGCTTCATGGTTTGTCATTGGTCGTATTTAGCCAATGAGCAAATTTGATACAGAATACAAAAACTGGGTTTTATGCCAAGTTATGATTGCACATGTACAACACAAATATTGAGACTTTTTAAGAATGGTTCTAGTCTTTATTGAATACAAAAAGAACCTTGGTTTGGTTCCACTCGGGAACTTTTGAGAAATGTAGTTAAAAATTTCAGAATTTAATTACATGGACGAATTAAATGGAATAATGGCCACAGTGTGACTAAACGTTCATACTAACTTGCCATCATAAACTTTCAATTGCATATGGGGCAGATTCAGTCGCTAATAAGAGAGCTGCTATGATGAAAGGGAGGTAACTCTGAACCTGTTCCTTTCCCTATCCCTTGTGCCCAAATGTTTTCATTTTGAGGAAATCCAAAATATATACTTGCTATATAACTACAGACCTGAATTCTTGGAGCAAACATCTGTAAACCACAAAAATAATGAAGTGGGCTTAAATTAAAGAATTTTGATTCTTCTTTTTAAGGAAGCTACTTCTGCTATGACAACCCTGCTGCCTTGCAGGACAACATGCTGAAGGACCTGGACATCTCTGAGAGCCAGTTCATGTCCTTCTATTCCTGGTACTCCTGGCCCAACGTCGTCCTCTGCTTCTTTGGCGGGTTTCTAATCGACAAGTTGTTGGGTGTCCGACTTGGCTCCATTGTATTCAGTTTGTTTGTGACAACTGGTCAGGTATGTGATGACGTGCTGATGTGATTTTATGTGACATTTTTCACTGTCTTGTCATTAGATGTTTACAGTGGTTGTGAAGGGTGGGAATTCCGGGTTAGAATTGGTCCCACATACCTAAGACCAGTCCCTGCTGTACTCCACAGCCAAAAATCAAGATTCTGCGGTCAATTTTTGTATATTATGCAACCAAATTTAATAATTCTAAACATAATTCTGTTATCTTTTAAGCTTAATTTTCATAGTTATGCGCCTGTTTCACTTGTAGCAGGCATTTTTGTGATCAACTAATCCTTGGCTAGAATAGCTTATTAAAGTGAATCTGGAGATCATTAGTGTAAATATTGGTAGCAATAATACAAAAGTCAACTTCTATTCAAAACAATTAAATGTCCATTTACATGTTTAAATCCACATGTCGACTAAAAGTCTGCAGTGTATTTGAAGAATTCATGGCTGTTACAATGTTGTGTTTGGGAGCTTGTTTTCTTCGGAAATGTACTAGCCACATAAATCATTTAGTTTCATTGACAGACATTAGTGTAGTTTTCTGTAGTTTCACCTCAAAACAAAATACCCCCTACTTCTTTTGCATAGTATTTGTCAACTAATCCTGAGCCAGGTGTTTAATGTGTTTAATGGAAAAAGCATAATTTTTAGTGTTTAAAAAAATGAGCTCAGACTTAGAACAAAGAGAAGGCCTCTGGTTTTACTTGCTTCAAGTATAATTCAAGTAAATAGACTTGTAATAACTTGAAATCCCATCTGATGAGATAATAAAAAAACAAACCTTTTCCATCTGCTATTTGTAGTTTGTTTCAAGCATGGCTGCAGGTTCATGCTGTGGTACACGGTTTGGATTTTAGTTTTGAAATTGTTTGAAAATATCTGTATCATATCCAAAAGGCATTTTATCTGTACAGAAATGAAACTCTTCCAACAAGGAAGCAATCTTAGTGTACACAATGTAAACCAGGATGGAGAATTCAGTAGCTGGCCAGGGTCCTGTTATACAAGGCGATCTTAGCGCTAAGGTGATCGTAACTCCCATACCTTAGCATAGACTTACGACAGTCGTAGCGCTAAGGTTGTTTTGTACAACGGCACCCAGGGTCCTGTTATACAAGGCGATCTTAGCGCTAAGGTGATCGTAACTCCCATACCTTAGCATAGACTTACGACAGTCGTAGTGCTAAGGTTGTTTTGTACAATGGTACCCGGGGATTTATCTTTGTTTCAAACTGAGTTCCTTTGGCAGGTAAATGGAGGATGGGGAGGGGTGGGGGAAATCACGAATTGATCCAAATTTAAATATTATTTTCATAAATTCTGAGGAATTGGAATTTTAACAATTCAAATTGGGAAATCTGTGATTTTTGTTGGGTTGGGACCAAATATCAGTCTTTCATCAGGTCTAGATAAATCTCTGGCTGATAGCATAACCACTGTGTAACCATGGCAACTAATGTAACATCTAGGTTATCAGGGTATTGTTTGTCAGTGTTTAACAATTATTGACAAATTGATAAGTCAGGATACTCAAATGACACCTGTTTCATTCCAGATTATATTTGCATCAGGAGCTATGATCAACAATATTTATCTGATGTATTTTGGTAGATTTGTTTTTGGGTAAGTTGTGTGTAAACATGTTAAATGCATGACAATCTGTTATTGTTTGCGCTTCGTGATAGATGCTGTGTGCCGCATACTGACTGTTCACAAATTGCACTTAGCTACTAACATTAGGTAACGGTGGGGTAGCCTTGTGGTTAAAGCGTCCGCTCGTAACGCCGAAGACCCGAGTTCGATTCCCTACATGGGTACAATGTGTGAAGCCCATTTCTGGTGTTCCCTGCCATGATATTGCTGGAATATTGCTAAAAGCGACCTAAACCATACTCTCTGACTTGCTAACATGACTAACAGGTCTGTTTGAATATTTTGGGTGATGGACTGTTTTCTTGAAAAGGAGAGAACTGAAACCTTGAACTTTGTCCGTGTATGGACGCATCAAGAATCATCATAAATCATGTGACGAAAAGATTTTTCGAACTTTTTTAAATTGTTTTTAATACAACAGAAATTAATATTTTGGAAACCAACTGACAAAATGTAGGATCATGTTACCATGGTAACATGAAGCCAAGTAAGTTTTTTATATGTTACTACCTTGACCATGAAAACAGTGCTGCCTGGGCATCCATCACTCACAATGAGCGTAGACAGGCTGTGCTTGTGCATGGTGCTTTATAACATTATTTCTGCATGTAATGCTTGTTTTGTACTTCCAGGTGATCTTTGCCTTGGGTTCTGTGTTCAACCTGTATTGGTTGATGTGTGCTGGAAGATTTGTGTTTGGGTAGGACTTGGAATTTAACCCAATAGAATATCCTGAGTTTATGTGTGACTCTAGGGCATTTGGTCCAAGACATGCTGTAGTGTAGTACGGGGTAGAACTTCTCCTGCACCACCCATAACCACCATCACTGAAATATCACATATTTCTAGAATACCAGACTTTGGCTTCAGCACCTTGGGTTCTTGTTTACTTAATACATTGATGAGTATAATTACCACACTTATGCTTTCTTGGCTGGATTAGCCCTAAGGACCCTAGAGAAAAAATTAAAAAGGGAATCCAACTCAAGTCTAGAATGATTTGCCAAGTCTTGATTGCCTCAGCTCTAGTTCTGAAATTATACATCATTCTGGGCTCCATTTGGATTTATGTTTGTTTTGTTTGTGTGTTGTTAACCCCGCACTCAGCAATATTCCAGCTATTTGACGGCGGTCTGTAAAATAATCGCGTCGCGACCAGACAATCCAGTGATTGACATCATGAGCATCGATGTACGCAATTGGTATCGATGACATGTATCAACCAAGTCAGCGAGCCTGACCACCCGATCCCGTTAGTCGCCTTTTACGACAAGCATAGTCGCCTTTTACAGCAAGAATGGGTTGCTGAAGACCTATTCTACCACGGGTCTTCACGGGTCTTTGGATTTATGTTTTATTTGAAGATATATATTATTTGTAGATATGTATCTATAATTAACTTCATTTCTGGGACTAATGTGTTTGTCTGTATGCAGCTATGAACTCTTAAAATTAGAGAGGCGTCTAACAGGATCAGGTGGTAAGGTCTTCAGCAACTCATGCTTGCCGTAAAAGGTGACTATGCATGTCGTAAACAGCAACTAACAGGATCGGGTGATCAGGCTCGCTGACTTTGTTGATGCATGTCATCGATCCCAATTGCCTGGATCGATGCTCATGATATTAATCACTGGATTGTCTGGTCCAGACTCGATTATTTACAGACCGCCATCATAGAGCTGGAATATTGCTGAGTGTGGGGTTAAACAACAAACAAACCAACTTAAAATTAGAAAGTGGTTAAGTTTCATGGAATTGATAACATTGCTTGTGCATGAGTATGCCGTGTTTGTCATGAATAGACTGATAACATTGGTGATTAACCATTGCTTGCCTGCAGAGTGTTTTCATTATTTAAAATGTGAACTTAGAAAATATTTATTACATCATCAGATTCCAAAGACACATGTATCTCTCTATCTTGTTGAACTGAGGGATCGGTATGGTTTAATGTGTAGACATCCTCAAAAGTCAATACCAGGGTTTTACCATGCGGGGTCCATGATTAAGTGTTAGTAATTCTATAGCTCTATTCGACACAGTATTACACCATGTTTTCAGTATTGGTGGAGAGTCTCTGGCTGTGGCACAGAACACATACGCGGTCAAGTGGTTCAAGGGGAGGGAACTCAACATGGTGTTCGGTCTGCAGCTCAGCTTTTCAAGAGTGGTAGGCATTTAGTTTACAATTAAAAAACCCCATTATTGTCTCCTATTATTATTAAATTATATACAGTAAAGTACGGTTATAACTAACTCAAAGGGACTACTAGTTTTAGTTCATTATAACCGTACTTCGTTATAAGCATATATACAGCATAACTACAGCAAATAGTCTGGACCAAAAACGTAAGTTCGTTAAATCCGTTATAAGCGTGTTCGTTAAAACCGTAGTTTACTGTAGTATTTTATTTTAAGAATTCTTGAGATGAATTTTGATCCCTGTATTCAGTTCTAATGTATATTTCCACACACAGGCTACAGAGCAATATTTTGTTTGTTTTGAAATGTAGGGTTCATTGTTTGTGTGTTTTGATGTTATGACCTAAAACCAGTGATAACAAAGCTGGAAGTTTTCACAGCAAAGTGTTTTTTAAAATTTACTCACAAAAGTTTTAAACATGTCAAACATCATGGCAGAAGGTTAGCCTCATGGCAGTAGGGTAGCCTAGTGGTTATGGTGTTCGTTTGTCACGCCGAAGACCCAGGTTTGATTCCCCACATGGGGACAATGTGTGAAGCCTATTTCTGGGCCCACTTGCTCAAAGCAATCTTAGTGAGAATAAATTATTTCTTTATAAACTCTTTATTTAGATGCATTAAGAACTCCATGTGTAGCTGTCAGACGAGTGACCCATTCTTATTCTACCATCTAGTCACGTGACTCAAACTACATATTCGTAGGCCAGTGTGACCTTGTGTTATAGACAGGACACCTCAAACCTTTTCACTCGGGATATTTGATGTTCTCCAAGTTGTTTCTGAGATAAATTTCAGTGATCCTTAGAGAGTTACTTTTGCACTCAGAAATATCCAAGTCATCAATGTTAAGAAATGAAAGAGTTTAACCCATCTGGGCTGTAACCAATGACAACAATATTACTAACGTCACTGGCAGTTTCTTTTGTGTTACTGATCTGACCGGTGAAAGTTTCCTGAGAAAATTTGGAACAGGTCTAACATCCAAAACTTCTGAGTATCTGTGTGTAACAGGTCTAACATCCAAAACTTCTGAGTATCTGTGTGTAACAGGTCTAACATCCAACACTTCAGAGTATCTGTGTGTAACAGGTCTAACATCCAAAACTTCTGAGTATCTGCGTGTAACAGGTCTAACATCCAAAACTTCTGAGTATCTGTGTGTAACAGGTCTAACATCCAAAACTTCTGAGTATCTGTGTGTAACAGGTCTGACATCCAAAACTTCTGAGTATCTGCGTGTAACAGGTCTGACATCCAAAACTTCTGAGTATCTGCGTGTAACAGGTCTAACATCCAAAACTTCTGAGTATCTGTGTGTAACAGGTCTAACATCCAAAACTTCTGAGTATCTGTGTGTAACAGGTCTAACATCCAAAACTTCTGAGTATCTGCGTGTAACAGGTCTAACATCCAAAACTTCTGAGTATCTGCGTGTAACAGGTCTAACATCCAAAACTTCTGAGTATCTGTGTGTAACAGGTCTAACATCCAAAACTTCTGAGTATCTGTGTGTAACAGGTCTGACATCCAAAACTTCTGAGTATCTGTGTGTAACAGGTCTGACATCCAAAACTTCTGAGTATCTGTGTGTAACAGGTCTGACATCCAAAACTTCTGAGTATCTGTGTGTAACAGGTCTAACATCCAAAACTTCTGAGTATCTGTGTGTAACAGGTCTAACATCCAAAACTTCTGAGTATCTGTGTGTAACAGGTCTAACATCCAAAACTTCTGAGTATCTGTGTGTAACAGGTCTAACATCCAAAACTTCTGAGTATCTGTGTGTAACAGGTCTAACATCCAAAACTTCTGAGTATCTGTGTGTAACAGGTCTAACATCCAAAACTTCTGAGTATCTGTGTGTAACAGGTCTAACATCCAAAACTTCTGAGTATCTGTGTGTAACAGGTCTGACATCCAAAACTTCTGAGTATCTGTGTGTAACAGGTCTGACATCCAAAACTTCTGAGTATCTGTGTGTAACAGGTCTAGATAAGAAAACACCTTTCAGGAATCTAACAGTCAGAGGGTGTAACCCAGTTGCCTCCCTTAGACATACCAGGAGTAGCTGGTTCAAATCTGTCCTGAGTATGATCCCAGATAGCTGGGGGTTTTCACCAAAGTGAAAACAATCAAAGGCTGGCATCACTACAGGCTTTCTTCCCTGATGTATCTTATGAGACCTTGTTCATGGATTCATTGGGTATTTGTCACTAAACATGGTGACCATAGATATAGTTACATATCTATCCTTAAAGGGTCGCGTCACGCCGAAGACCCGGGTTCGAAACCCGACATTGGTAGAATGTGTGAAGCCCATTTCTAGTGTCCCCCGCTGTGATATTGCTGGAATATTGCCAAAAGCAGCATAAAACCATACACTCACACTCACTTTAAAGGGTCAGGAGAGTTTGTAAAAATTGAAAGCAAATTTCATCGTAAGTTTACTGAGATAACAATGTTTGAAATACTGGGCGGTAGACATACTCAGGACATTTCCAAATTTGATCCATCAGTGAGAAAAATGATGTCTGATGTCAATTACATATTTTGACCTGTACCTCATGTGCCTGTGTTTTCCAGGTGAACAATTGACTTGCCTTTGCATGTGTTTGTGATGGGTGACACAGGTAGAACAGGATACTCTCCCCTTTTCGGGAACACCTGGTATCATCACTATTTGATAGTGATTCATAAACACATGGTCAAAATATAGTCAGGGTCATTCATTGACTCTGCTTTTAGCTTAGCAGAGATTTCTTGTGACAATGGAATTGGTTTTTGTAGCTTTTGTTTACATCACAAGAAGTGGTGTTGAACAAAGTCAGCCAGTAACACAACCACTCACCCACTGATCACTTAGTCAACCACCAATCCATCACCAAGTTGTGTTTCCATTCCAGGGCAGCACGGTCAACATGAATGTGATGCAGCCCGTGTACAAGTTCATCGGCAAGTGGTACGAGGGATTCAAGTGTCTAGGAATGTCGCTGTTTGTAGGTGAGTTGTGAACAGAACATGTTTTGGTTTGTGTGAGAGTAATGATAATGATTTTCCGTCGTTGGAACCAATAAAGTTGAAACTTCACATACTTTTTCCCACCAAGGATGACACCCCAATCTGATTTTCAATATGGCCGCCACATCAGCCTTATTGAAAAATCATTTTAACAAAATGTAAAATGAAATTTTGTACTTGTTTAGATTCAACACATTTGTTACTCTCTTTTTTTAAAATTGCAATTTTAAATTTATTCTTAAATTACCAGACTGATGTAGCTGAACTTTGGCAAGTATGTGCCCGTGAAGGTCCGGGTGTGAATAGGTCTTCAGCGACCCATGCTTGTCATAAAAATTAACTATGCTTGACAGTAACCTTTGTTGTAATGATAATGATGTTTCTGTTGTCAATGAAGCTGGTTGTGGAATGTTGTAGGCGCCGGCACGTGTGTGTTCTCCCTGATCTGTGCATTGACCCTGGCCTTCTTCGACAAGAGGAATGACCGAGTCCTAAAGAAATCTGCTTCAGCCTCAGGTACTTATTCTGTAGTACTTGACTTAAACTTTGACAATGCAGTGATAAATAAATAGAATTAAGCTCTTGTCATTGCAAGTCGTATGTTGTCTGTCGTCATCATCCAGAACTATTTACAGTTTTGACCTCATCTCCGAAATGGCTTATAGATTCAGATGAATTGTGTTCGGATATTGTTAAGTAGAATAAGGATTCCACGTTAGATATATTGGGCCAGAGGCCTGAACATGGTGGGTGAGATAGTCACCTTGCAACAAGTTTGTTTGAGGCATCTTGATCGGAAATCATATATGAAAGCAGAAAATAGTGGAAGATATCATGCAGTCCCAAATGAGTCGCTTTGTAGATCCTAATGTCAGCTAATTTGAATTTTAGACAAATTTATATTTCTCTATAACCCAAGCATTGTTTTGTTGCAACGGTAGCATTGTTGTTGCAGTCCTAGCATTGTTGTGTTGCAACCCTGGCATTGTTCAGTTGTTGTATTGCAACCCTGGAATTGTTGTGTTGCAACCCTGGCATTGTTGTGTTGCAACCCTGGCATTGTTGTATTGCAACCCTGGCATTGTTATATTGGAACCCTGGCATTGTATTGCAGCCCTGGCATTGTTGTGTTGCAACCCTGGCATTGTTTTGTTGTTGCAACCCTGGCATTGTTGTGTTGCAACCCTGGCATTGTTGTATTGCAACCCTGGCATTGTTGTATTGCAGTCCTGGCATTGTTTTGTTGCAACCTTGGCATTGTTGTGTTGGAACCCTGGCATTGTTGTATTGCAGTCCTGGCATTGTTTTGTTGCAACCCTGGCATTGTTGTGTTGGAACCCTGACATTGTTGTATTGCAACCCTGGCATTGTTGTGTTGCAACCCTGGTATTGTTTTGTTGCAACCCTGGCATTGTTGTATTGCAGCCCTGGCATTGTTGTATTGCAATGCTGGCATTGTTTTGTTGCAACCTTGGCATTGTTGTGTTGCAACGCTGACATTGTTGTGTTGCAACCCTGGCATTGTTGTATTGCAACCCTGGCATTGTTGTATTGCAACCCTGGCATTGTTGTGTTGCAACTCTAGCATTGTTTTGTTGCAACCCTGGCATTGTTGTGTTGCAACCCTGGCATTGTTGTATTGCAACCCTGGCATTGTTGTGTTGCAGATGAAGTTGTTCGGATGGGCGACGTCCGCTACTTCCCCCTCACCATGTGGCTCATCTGCGTCATTTGCGTGGCCTACTACGTCGCCGTCTTCCCCTTTGTGGGCCTGGGACTGTGAGTATTGTGCAGTCACTAACTAGAAGTAGACTAGTTAAACTTGGCCACTCCGCTGCCTTCAGGGATTTAGTGGATAGAATACCTGCCTGGAGAGCAGTCGGTAGTTTGATTCCTTTGGCTGTGTCATAGCAAAAGATGTTCGAGATGGTACTGATCGGCTCGGAGTCAGTGTATTGTGTCTGAGTGGGATATCCATGTTAACACTTTCAACACCACAGGCCGGTACACTGGCCAAGAAGTCATGAATCCCCAGACACCTCAGGCTGGTACATCATCCTGGCTGTATCCACGTCAAAATAATATAGAAAAATGATTAAATCTATCACTTTTCAGAATTGGTCAATCAGAGGCTGTTAAATCACAATAAACCCCCTCTGATTGAAACAGCTGGTTTGACGACCGCATCACCGCGGAAGCTAATATTCATAGAATAGTACTTTTTTCAGCCATTGTCGGTAGGCATATTTAAATAATTATATCTACAATTACAAGTTACAAAATGCACAGATGCGGTAACTACAATATTCAAAGGATGTGTGGCAATACATTTCGTGCAGAAAACACGATAGAATTCTACAAAGGGAATGTATTTACGTTTTGGAGACAACAGAGAGCTTGGAATTTTGGCGCTTTTCTATATACGACTGTGACGTCATATCTTTTGCGTCACAATGAGCGGCATGACGTCATAATGGTGACGTGATGTAGAGCGAAAGCCTTGCAAAGCTTGCTTTGTTTTCTTTAGGGATGCCCACCTCATGTTAGCTTACCAAGTTGCCGTGCTTATATGCTTTCAATACCTGTCATATGTTCGAGTGAAGTATTAGGGTGTAAACAAACTGCTTGAATATATGCAGCGCCATATTTTGTTCAGTGATTCCGTAATTCAGATCGACAACCCACTCAAAACACTGAACTCAACCCATGCCGCTTCACTCAGTATATTTGCTAACACCAAAGAGTTCACGTTTTATTTAGTCATGGTAGAATGGAGATAAACATACTGTGTTTTCAATGTAGAGCTAGGTTACCTGTAGATTTAACCGCGCTAAATTTAACATTTGAAACCTCACGCTGCGCGTTCGGTTCCAAATTCAATTTAGCGCGGTTAAATCTACAGGTAACCTAGCTCTACATTGAAAACACAGTATGTTTATCTCCTAATCAACAAAAATATGTCTAATAGTTGTCAAACTTACATCTAAATTATTATTTCCATCTGTTTGTGCGATTGCATGTAACGTAAGTCAAATCACATCTCAGCTTTCGTCGCTTTGATTTCGAGGCTCGAACACGATGATTAATGCCAAAATATATACATGAGAAATGTTTGTCACATCTGAAATTTATCATACACAAGGACGGTATCCATTGCTGTAATTTGATTGGCTGCCTTAGGTCATTTGCTTGAATTAGACCAATCACGATCCTTGTAGCAGATTTTGGCAAGAAAGATTTCGGCATAATACAGCCTTGAAAGTACTCCAGGGGAGGTTACTGTCATATCATTGAAGTCATCAGCTTTCTAATGATACCAAACATCAAATGAATTGACGCACGTGTTATTCATACAAAGCTTCGAAAACAGAGGTATTTTCTCATGTTACTGAGCAGAAAGCCACTGTTATTGTGAAATGGGTGATGAAAGATATTTTAAATTCTTTTAAAAATAATTTTCCGATTTCTTAAACAATGAAAATTAAAAAGAAATAGGTAAGTGAATATTATGAAAGCTTATATTTGCAGAAAATTGTCAAATTTTCGCTTCCTTTGTGCTTAATCTGGATGTTATGAATGTGTTAGCTTACATATTTTATGTACAACAAACTTAATTAAGTTGTAAATGCATTATTTAAGTAATGTGATAAACATAACTTTCATTCTTTAAACCGTAGAATCTTACCTTTCAAACATGTAGTAGCAAAGATGTTTTACAAGCAGATAATTTCCTTGATAGCTGTAGGCTTCATCCATCACACAAGAGTCTCTGGAAACTCAGTGTCACAGCAGTAAAAGCTTCTGGTTGACTGGTGTTGGCATGTTATCTCAATGGGCTAGCACTATAAAACTCAATGGGCTAGCACTATAAAACTCAATGGGCTAGCACTATAAAACTCAATTGGCTAGCACTATAAAACTCAATGGGCTAGCACTATAAAGCACAATGGGCTAGCACTATAAAACTCAATGGGCTAGCACTATAAAACACAATGGGCTAGCACTATAAAACTCAATGGGCTAGCACTATAAAACACCATTTGCTAGCACTATAAAACACAATTGGCTAGCACTATAAAACAATTGGCTAGCACTATAAAACACAATTTGCTAGCACTATAAAACACAATTGGCTAGCACTATAAAACACAATGGGCTAGCACTATAAAACACAATGGGCTAGCTCTATAAAACTCAATGGGCTAGCACTATTAAACAATTGGCTAGCACTATAAAACACAATTTGCTAGCACTATAAAACACAATTGGCTAGCACTATAAAACACAATGGGCTAGCACTATAAAACACAATGGGCTAGCACTATCAAACTCAATTGGCTAGCACTATAAAACTCAATGGGCTAGCACTATAAAACACAATGGGCTAGCACTATAAAACTCAATGGGCTAGCACTATAAAACACAATGGGCTAGCACTATAAAACACAATGGGCTAGCTCTATAAAACTCAATGGGCTAGCACTATAAAACTCAATGGGCTAGCACTATAAAACTAGCATTAGTCCAGATTAATACTGGCAAAGACAGACTAGCACATGCAGACGCTAGGGCACATGCACAGACAAAGGCAAAAATGCACGCATGTGCGCACACACACACAGAAAATTATGTTCACTGAACCATTATGAAATACTATTACTATATTGATGGTTATTGCTGCGTGTACTTGCCCTCATCATAACTCATGTGAAGTAATAAATGTTGTATTTATTTCAGTGTTTTCTTTGAAATGAAGTACGACTATTCCCCAGGCCTTGCCAACAATGTCAACAGGTAGGTTGCTTCAAACACTTTGATACATAAGTTTTAAGTTACAGTGGAATCTGTCCAATTCCGCCCTGGATGGGATCGGTTAAAAAGTCCGGTTTACAGCGAGGTCCAGAGTCCATTCATGTCCATTTGAGACACAAGTGACTTCAATAGCAGCTTACACTACCTTGCTTTGAACGCTCTAATAGCTCCTTGATTCAGTGGTTTCAAGACAGAAGTGAAGTTTGGAAGTGAAAATTAAATTTTTGCGCTACAATAGCATTGTTGTTTGAGTTGACAGTGACTGAACTTACTTCAAAGTGAGAGAACATGCGGTCCGGTCCGGTCCGGTCTGGTCCAATCTCATTTAGACCGCTTCTTCTCAATAGTAAATTGGTTGTCGGGACTAAATTTTGTCCCAGGTGTAATAAGTGTGAATATGAGAGTTGTAGGTCAGTTTGAGTATGATAATTTATTAAGGAACTGAAGGGACATGTTGTTCAAGTGTTCACCAAAGTCCAGTCCAATTTGGACAGATTCCACTGTAATTGGTTATTATCCCAACAGAGAAGAAATGCCTTTCACTTTTAGCTCACCTGAAACACCGGATATTATATTTACTGTTAATGGAAGAATAAGTATTAGCACATTATTTGTGATGTAAGGCTGTGACAAATAAGTGACCTTGTTTTGAATTGATGCACTCAGTTATTCACTCATGATGCTATAATATATGCTACTCAAATGATGTCAAGGAACACCTGATTCTTTTCACGTGACTATAGTTATGACTATAGCCTTGACAGATTAACTATAGTCTTATAAAAAAATATGTTTTTCTTGAACTTCTTTTGAGTGGTATACTTGTAATAATGCGGACAGCGGCAGAAGATATTGCTGTCTGCAGGACAAAACATTCACTCACTCTATTGTTAGACCCGTGAAGATCCGGGGTAGAATATGGTCTTCAGCAACCCATGCTTGCCGTAAAAGGCGACTATGCTTGTCGTAAAAGGCGACTAACGGGATCGGGTGGTCAGGCTCGCTGACTTGGTTGATACATGTCATCGATCCCAATTGCGAGGATTGATGCTCATGATGTCAATCACTGGATTGTCTGGTCCAGACTCGATCATTTAACAGACTGCCGTCGTATAGCTGGAATATTGCTGAGTGCGGCGTTAAACAACAAACTAACAAACTAACAAACAAGACTATTGTTGACGGCGTCTTAGTCCTGCATCACTTCAGACTTTCTTCCACATTAAACGGAGTCACTGTGATATAAATGTAATACTGTTCATAGTGGCATTAAATCAAACGCACTCACTGAATTTTGTAAATCTTTAAGTGATATTTGATTGCCCAATAAGTCACTCGCTAATGCACGTGGTTCCCTTGCAGCATCGTGTATATCATCTCAGCAGTTGCCTCCCCTTTGTTTGGCTTCCTGATTGACAAGAGCGGGAAGAACATCTTCTGGGTGATCACGGGGGTTCTTGTCACTTTGGGATGTCATGCCATGCTGGCCTTCACCTTCATCAACCCATACGTTGCCATGGTAACCAGACTTTATCAGATGATGCTATCAAACAACTGTAAAAATATTCACACACTGTAAAATATTGGATACACACCGAAGGAATCTGTCCTATGTTTAAGTTATCCAGTGTTAATTTAAGTTTTAAATAGTACCACCTTTGCCAAAATGTTTCAAGCTTTGTCATCACCATACCCATGCTTGTGGGTTTCACAAACGTGCTAAACATCTAAGACCTGTATCACTTCGGGGTATCCGCCCATATTAAGCTCAAACTCTGTGATGTCATTGGAACACTTCGGAAGAGACTTCAAACTCACTCTTAGAAAACAAAGTGCTCATTTCATGTCCATTTCCTTGCAGTATTGCTCAAAGTGCCTAAAATTCATTCTGTTTATCTTAGAGCTAAATATGTTGAGGTTACTCTCAATAAAGTTTGTCAGATAGGGAAGGGAGATCACTCTCGAATAAAGTTGGCCAGATCGCGAAGGGAGGTCACTCAAAATATAGTTGGCTAGATTGGGAAGGGAGATCACTCTCAATAATGTGTGCCAGATCAGGAAGGGAGATCACTCTCAATAACATTTATCAAATTGGGAAGGGAGATCACTCTCTGATAAGTTGGCCAGATTGGGAAGGGAGGTCAATCTCAATTAAGTTAGCCAGATTGGGAAGGGAGATCACTGTCAATAATATGTGCCAGATCAGGAAGGGAGATCACTCTCAATAATGTCTGCCAGATTGGGAATGGAGATCACTCTCAATAATGTGTGCCAGATTGGGAAGGGAGATCACTCTCAATACTGTTTGCAAGATCAGGAAGGGAGATCACTCAAGCCATTGTATGATACTTATCTGCTCCTCATGTTGCCCTGTGTTGCTTAACATTGTGCCTTGCTACTTTCAGTCCACCATGGGTCTGGCCTACTCTGTGCTGGCCAGTGCGCTCTGGCCAATGGTGTCCATGGTAATCCCCCAACACCAGCTCGGGACAGCATACGGAATGTGAGTACAAAAGACGAAAATTGTGGTTTCTTCCTTAATTCAAAGTGTCAGTCCACCCAAAAGATAATCAATTGAAATTTTGTGTGGAAGTTTGTTACTAGGCATCAGAATTTCAATATGGACACTAGATAGCCAACATTCATTTGAAAAAGCAACTAATAAATCTTAAAAACTACCAGCAGCCATATTGGAAAATATAAATAATCATGTATGCCTCCTCCATAAACAGCTATTCCTCAGAAATAACTGGGGCGGTGGGGTAGGCTAGTGCTTAAAGTATTTGCCAAAGACCCAGGTTTGATTCCCCACATGGGTACAATGTATGAAGCCCAATTTTGGTGTCCCCCGCCGTGATATTGCTGGAATATTGCTAAGAGCGGCATAAAATCATACTCACTTACTCAATCAGGAATCGGGCGGTCGGGTAGCCTAGTGGTTAAAGCGTTCGCTCGTCACGCCGAAGACCCAGGTTCGATTCCCGACATGGGTACAATGTGTGAAGCCCATTTCTGGTGTCCCCCGCCGTGATATTGCTGGAATATTGCTAAAAGCGGCGTAAAACTCACTCACCCACACTCAATGAGGAATCACTGGATCAATGAAGTAAAAGGTCTGTAACCCAAGCAATAAGAAGTAAAAGGCCTTGTGTAGAGAGACAGTGGTTAGATCTGGCTGATGGACATCAGTTGTTAGTGCACATACCTCATGTAACCTTCAATAAATGTCTGTTACAGAATGCAGGCTGTACAGAACCTAGGTCTGGCTGTTATATCACTGGTGGCTGGGATCATCGTAGACTCCAAGGGCTACCTCATCCTGGAGGTGTTCTTCATGGCCTGGCTCTGCAGTGAGTACACCAAGACATGAGATCACCCTCATTAACCTTGGCCATATCGAGAAGGGAGATCGCTCTCAATAGCCTTTGACATATTGAGAAGAGCGATCACTCTCAATAAACTTGGCCATATAGAGAAATGAGATCATTCTCAATAGCCTTGGCCATATCGATAAGAGAGGTCACTCTCAATTGCCTTGGCAATATCGAGAAATGAGATCACTCTCAATAACCTTGGCCATCTCGAGAAATGAGATCACCCTCAATAACCTTGGCCATATCGAGAAGAGAGATCACTCTTTAAAACATTGGCAACACATGCTTGCTGTAAGAGGCGACTATCGGGATCAGGTGGTCAGGCTCACAGATTTCATGGATGCATGTCATTGTATCCCTATTGCCTAGATCAATGCTCATGATGTCAATCACTGGATTGTCTGGTCCAGACTCCATTATTTACAGACCACCATCATATAGCTGGAATATTGCTGAGTGCGGCATAAAACAACAAACAATAAAAAAACTTGCAACAGCAGAAAGGGAAGTCACTCTCAAATTTGACTGTGAAGGGAGATCACTCTCAATAAGCTTGACCACAGTGGAAAGGGAGATCACTCTCAATGAACTTGACCAGATCAGGAAGATCTGTAGTGAGGCCTAGAGGTTAGAAGCCCATGTCCCATTGACATAGTTGGAATATTGCTAGCATTAAACCTGCTTAATCATGCCCTGTAGTGGCAGTGAATACAGTTAAAGTACTCATGGAAATGAAAAAAAACTGTTTTGCTGGATTTAATAATCGACACAAAGCATAACGTAGATGTAAATACGAAATAACAAAACACCTGGAAAGTACTAGTCTGGATTTGCTAGTTTTATCTCAGTGCTCAATACAAAATGTACTTTAAAGGAGGTAATTTGTAGGCACTTTCAACATTCAAATATAAAACTAAGTCCAAATTGACATGGAAACAGGCTATAGGCATTATGCAAATTAGCCTGGAAAAAAGTTATCAAAACAGCAATAAAAATAACAGCTATGTTCATGTACATAATAATAATGACATGTAAGTTGTTGTTTGAGAAGGGAATATGTTATTTTTACGTTCTGGTATTTTGACGATGATTCACTATCCCACAATGCCACTCACAAATCACTAACCACATGCACATGCACGTGGGTTTCAAGCACCTGTTTTCACCTGTCGTCAAGGTGTCATAGGTCATGGACATTCACCTTGATGTACTTAACACCTGGTTATGCTCAGTTTCACAATAGTCTGTTTTGTTCATATTTTTACACACTTTTATGTGTAAAAAGACATAACCTTTGATACGCTGTATTTGTGCCAAGGCCCAATTAGTACTCATTGAGTTGATTGAATATTTATAGATTTTGTATATTAACTGCATGTATTTAAAATCTGAGATCGAAAAAACAGGTTTTTTTTTCATTTCCGTGAGTACTTTAGTATGTGTATGTGATCTGTGATTCTCTCTCGCCAGTGGCCCTGATCGCAGCTGTCTTCCTGTACCTGGTCGATGCTACACGAGGTATGTTCTCAAACACATGGAGAGGTACACTCAGACAAGTCTTGTGACTCTGTGGTACTGCCACATACATACATGTCTCAGGATAGAAAATAAAAAAATTATATGATTTTAAAGTGCCATTTTCATTTCAGAATTGTGAATACTTTTCACCTCTCCAGTTTATGTGAGGGAGCTTTTGGATGTCTACAAAGTCATTAACAACATTAAAATTTGAAAACCACAGTTCTGTACCAAGTTCCAAAACAAAGTTGTCTGAATGCTTGTTCTCAGTTGCCTGTCCTCAGTTCCACTTCTCTCTTTCAGGCGGTAAGCTGAATATGTCCTCCAAGAAGCGACACCAAGAAGCAGAAGCACTCAAGGAGAAGGAAGAGAAGGAAGAAGAGTAAGTGATGGGTTAAAGTCAGGAGGAACTGCTTCATGTGTCCAGAACAGTCAGTCTAGTTACTAACAAAATTTTATTGCTGAAATACAGTAAACTACGGTTATAAAGAACACGCTTATAACGAACTGACGGATATAATGAACATACTTTTTTGGTCCCGACTATTTGCTGTAGTTATGCTGTATATATGCTTATAACGAACTAAAATTAGTGGTCCCTTTGAGTTCATTATAACTGTACTTTACTGTACTTTGACTGCTCTGTGTATGGAGAAACAGAATTGTGGGGATTGGTTGGTCAACATGACTTTTGACATTCAGTCTTGTTGTTAAAAAAAAGTTGATTGGTCGGTCAAAATGGTTGCTGATCATGGAGAGATCCTGTATTGATGACCTCCCAGGAGCACCATGTGCATCTGGGTCCAGTGTTCTCGTATGCACTGAAACGTTGATGGTACCAAACTATATGGGCCTTCACGAGCCTTAAGACCATCGTAACTCCCACACCAACTCCCATACCTAAACAGAAGTTTACAATATTTGGAGTACTAAGACTAATGTGAAGATCCAGGGTAGAATTGGTCTTCAGCAACCCATTCTTGTCATAAGAGGCGACTAATGGGATCGGGTGGTCAGGCTCGCTGACTTGATGGATTCATGTCACGGTATCCCAATTGTGTGGATTGATGCTCATGATGTCAATCACTAGATTGTTTGGTTCAGACTCGATTATTTACAGACCACCATCATATAGCTGGAATAGTGGAATGTCAGTACTTTTGAAAGTTTAATATCTGAGTCATGACGATTGCTGGAAGCAGAATGATCGACCAGTGTCCCATCCTTGTGATAAATGACTAATGACTCGACCGGATTTGAGTTTTACATTGGTATTCTTGAGCTAGTGGATTAGTGAATTTCGAAGGCTGTCAATTTGTTCAAGAAGGCCAAGCACCAAAAGTTTGACCTGGCTTCCATTCATCAAAGCAACCATAACTCTAAGGTGTCTTAACTCTACGTACATGTGAGTTATGATAATCATTCGGGCTGTGTATTGACCTGGATTTTGTATTGCAATATATTGGCATACTTTATTCTGTATTGTGATACGTATTGCAATATATTGCAAATTTACATTTTCATGAGTTAATCAGAGTTATACCCTGTATTAATGTCAGATACCATCAAGCTCCTTCCCAGCGTGTGACACCTTCGTTATACCCTTCGTGTTATAGAGCTCCGCGGACGAGCTGTGGCTGAGAGGAGTTTGATAGTCTCGATGTGTACATGATTATCAGATCATCAGAGGCAAGTTGTATCAGAAAGATACTATTTCCCATCTCCATATCGATAAGGAACACATAAATATACTCATTTATATTTGCCGCAATATATTGCTATATTTACAAACAATAGGTATTGCAATAGGTATTGCTGAAAATTTGCACCACAATATACCAGTGTACCGGTAATAGTTGGTTGGTTTGTTGTTTAACGCCACACTCAGCAATATTCCAGCTATATGACGGCGGTCGGTAAATAATCGAGTCTGGACCAGACAATCCAGTGATTGATATCATGAGCAACGATCCACACAATTGGGATCGATGACACGTATCAACCAAGTCAGCGAGTCTGACCACCCGATCCCGTAAGTCGCCTTTTATGACAAGCATAGTTGCCTTTTACAGCAAGCATGGGTTGCTGAAGACCTATTCTGCCCCGGATCTTCACAGGTCGTACCGGTAATACTGCACACCTTTGATAATCATAGCGCCTCAATAGCTTTGTGAAATAAGGACCCAGTGTATTGGGGGGTTATATTACATCAATTTACTCACTCACTCCATGTTTTCTCTTCCAGAAAGAAACCACTGAACTAAGCCGGCCAACCACACGCAACCATCACAGTAAATACCATTTTCAACATGACAGAAAATGCAAATATTATGCAAAGTTTGATATCTAATTTACAGATGATGTAGAGTTGACCAAAAACCATACATGTAGTGTTTCTTCATTATGTTATCAGGGCGGTCGGGTAGCCTAGTGGTTAAAGCGTTCGCTCGTCACGCCGAAGACCCGGGTTCGATTCCCGACATGGGTACAATGTGTGAAGCCCATTTCTGGTGTCCCCCGCCGTGATATTGCTGGAATATTGCTAAAAGCGGCGTAAAACCAAACTCACTCACTCACTCATTATGTTACCAAGCTGGAAAAAGGGACAGTGTGAAACATGTTTATGAAGCATGATAAACATTCTTTTATCTACTTGATCTGCATAGTTTTAGGAATGAGCACAAAGTTTAGCAATCATTATGAAAGTTGTGTTCATGAGTGTGGTAGAGAGATTTGTTCTTTTCAACACCCATTTTAGACTTGTACGAACCTTTTTAACTGTATACCTGTCCTTGTTGGTGTCTGTAGTCTAAAACAGCTGACATACATGAAAAAGGTTATCAGTCATATAAACAAGTCTGATAACTTTAGTATCAATATTTCAAAGTTTTCTGTAACAAGCAAGTATGTCAAGTTCAGTGGACTTAAAAGGCCTGTGTCCTTGGCAACCATTATTTACTGTATGGCTGTATGATGAAATGTTGCTCCACTCAATGACCCAAAATACTCATTTACAAACGATCATGACACTCACATTTTGTTACGGCATTTTCATCAAGTATTACTGTATGTAAAGACACACGTGTAAAGACACATTTTATGGTTTTCAAAGTATCCTTGATTTTTATTCTTTTAAATTTAATTTTCGACACTGTAAACGCACACTGCATTGAACAGAAAATATTATTGTTTTGTTTTTTACGTGTTGAAGAAATTTAAAATACCCCCGGTATGACAATTCAGAGAGGTTAAAAATGTTTAAAGGTTGAATTTAAATGAATATAAAGATCGTTGACTGAATATGATCAAATTTGAGAATGTGTAATGGGCTTAATTTTATGTCAGTATGTATGTATATATACATGTGTATTTTATGCTAGTCTTTCAGTCTTTGTGCCATATTCCTCTGCAAATCAAATAGAATTTATCAACTTTAAACAGTCTTAGTGTCTAACTGTCTCAGGTACTTGGGTACTCAGGGTCCTCGTCATTATGTGAAACTAAATTGTTCGACTTTGTTCTTTTCAAATTCATTCAGCTGTGCCAATGTGTTAAGGGCAGCTGTGTCAATGTGTTAAGGGCAGCTGTGCCAATGTGGTAAGGGCAGCTGTGCCAATGTGGTAAGGGCAGCTGTTCCAATGTGTTAAGGGCGTTAGTTGACTGTGTTGATTTTTGATGCCACTATGGTTGATCTCTCAAGGAGCTCCATTGTATCAGAACTTAGTGGTGTGCTGTTTTCACATACAATGCCAATCGGGAGATAAGCTTTCAATGTTTTCTTAATACAATTACACACCACTAACTTTAACTAAAATATAATTTAGAACAATTGAGCTTAGTTATACAGAATCTTTGACATTCCACTTGTCTTGAAGTTCAGAAACCTGTGACGCTCCTCAGGACTCCTCTTCCCGAGGCAAGAGAGTTAACTGAGTTAAAAGTCCAGTTTCCACCCTTGCTGAACTAGGCTGGTATTATTAATGAGTCAACGCATAGTCCAATCAAACTAAATTGAAATCCGGTTTATAAACTGCTGTGCAGATTTCAGTCAATTGCAGGATTTGCAAAGCATGTGCACCTCCAACTTGTTGTCAACAGATATTTTCCAGATCTTTTCATGTTTTTTATCAAGGTGCTCGCATGATTTGATGCACTTCACGATGTAAGGCACGTTTTATCGCAATATAGATCTTGATTATCGATCAGATCGTCTTGACTTGGCTCCGCCATTTTGTTTGAAACAAATGCAAGTGATACGATAGGTGGAAACTGATTGATCTATAGGAGAGGCTTAGAAGGGACATAACTCGTAGTAACCACTGGTGGCACTACGATCGAGCCCAGGACTTTCAGCCTAGTTCGGCAAGGGTGGAAACTGGACTTTTAAAGTCAGTTAACTCGCTTGCCTCAGGAAGATGCTCAGAATGTTGCATAAACAAGGTTTGCTGTATATTGATTGTAAGTTAGAGGTATGTTATTTGCACATTTGATAGGGCTTCGTTTTATATGAAAGTTAATGTCAGCATGAGGTTGTAAATGTTGAATTAAGCACTGGTAGTTTCATCTACTTTCTAATAATAATTCTGTCTGGTGTCCAAACATTTACAGCTGCGCTGACTCCTTGTCCCACAACTCCTTCACCTGAAGCAAGAGGACTCTTCCTAAAAACATCAACCCCAAAACAAGGGTGTGTAGGACAAATTCTCCTGGCACCAAATTAAAGTAACGTTGCCTACGAATTTAAAAAAATCTCAATTTTGGACAATAAAAAATCTCTTTCCAATTTCTAGATATATCCCAGATTATTACTTAGAAGTTGATGGATGACAAAGTAGACACAATTTATGGATAACAACTTCTTTATTTTCTGTGAAGGCGATATTTGACAACGGTATAAGGATCTAGACCGAAACGTCGCCTTTACAGTAAATAAAGAAGTTGTTATCCATAAATTGTGTCTACTGTCATCCATCAACTTCTAAGTAATGCCTATCAAACAATTCCTCCCTGATTATACCTGTTTCCATAGTGAACAACTAAGGGACATTACTCTGCTCAAAAAACATCCTTAGCCCTGACAACTTCCCTACTATTTGAATAAAGAGGGTATAATAATTATGGATTGGTTGGCATTGTTAAAAGACTTTGACTGAATTGAATAGATGATTCTGCTATTTATGCTTCTTAATTTCTCATCTAATTCTTGTACATATGTAAAAATATGTCTGGTGAATTGTATTGACTAAAGGTAGGATTTCAATGAGTCTAATAACAGGTACCGTATTCAACAAAATAAGCACCCAGGTCTCTCTCAAAATTAGAAATAGGGGGCTCTTATTAGAATATTATTTTGGTGAAAAAAAACAGAGTTGAAAGATAAATTTTGTGGTTTATGCTGACAGCCTGAAATGCTTATGTACGACAGATATATTTTTCGAGAATTTAATTGCCAATAATAAAGGGTGCATATAACACACGAGTGAGTATTATACGCGAATATAGCAAGGAAGTGGTGGGTATTATATGCGAATAGGGGTCGGAAGGGGTGCTAATTGGGATTGTTCACTAGCCAATATATTAGCAAATCTCGATGTGGGTGCTTATTAGAGCGGGGCGCTTATTACATCGAATACGGTAACTATGATTTAACTGACGGCACAGACAGTAATGTATTTGTAAAATATTGTCTTAATTTGTGTTGACTATGGCTATGATTACAATGAATTTTATAGCATATGATTTTAATTATGCTGGTGCACTGATAGTTTGTTTGCACCACAATAACTATGTCTGTGCAATGACTACACGTTGTTCCCCAATGCCAAATGTATATATATATATCTTACCCGACAGGGTGAAGATAGAGTGTAGATATTGTACCCTGGATAAGCGAGGATGGTAGCATCTTGGACATACACATTGTTTACTGTGTCAGGTTACTATGCTAAGTTACTATGCTGAATTGATATGTCAATTTTTTATACTAAATTACGATGCTCTGCCAACAGAATCAGTTTTGTTCTGCTAGTTTACACTTATTTTTTTATGTATTGTTAGTTGTCTGTTGTATATTAGTTTACTGAGGATCCAGGTCATGGGCATCTTATATGTTAAACATCTACTTAAATCTCAGGGACCTTAATCAGCGAAAATAGAAGCAGTTACATATTTGCTACTCCGATGGACAAAAAATACTCCAGTACCAAGAGTAAATAATGTTGTTTATTTATTTTTTAGTGCAACACTTGGCAATATCCCAACAATTATTATTTGGCACTATTTATTAGGTTATTTTAAAAAAACAAATGATTGAAATTGTCTTGAATTAAAGAATCCACTATGATGCAAGGGTTGAAATCAGCAGATGTTCATCAATCAGATAAACACTTTGTTCTTTTTTTTCCACCAAAACTTTTCAAAGGTAAACCACTTCAATAAAACAAGAAACAGAACACAAAGAAAATAGAAGAACACACTAAACTCCCACTGAATTTCTAATTTGGTGTGAAGCCCATTTCTGGTGTCCCCCGCCGTGATATTGCTGGAATATTGCTAAAACTCACTCACTCACTCTAATTTGGTATATGAAGGATGCCTGTATTTTTAAAAGTGTTTGCATCAGAACAGTTGTATATATTTTTTAGCTACCTTAATTGATTTACTGCAGGTTTCTAATGAAAGAATCTAGAAGGGTGTTTCGCATATTCGTAATGGCATTGTGCATAACAGTTGAATTTAGCACCAGTTTTGTGTCTCTTTGTAAGAAAACTAGTCTGTAAGTGAGCAGGTGCTTGCTGACAAAGGCACAAAAGGAGAATGATTGGTCACAATGGCTGTGGATTGTACATGGATGGGTGATCATTTTGGAAAAGCAACTCTCTGCTGTGATTGGTTCATCTGTCATTTTACCATTTAATGATGTGCTTCGATCCTCAGACTGTAAATGGTCACTCCAGGAACTGATTGCTTTGCAGACAGCTGTTTTGGAGTCATCCTCATCTTTAGGCTTCAGCATCAGTGCCATCTGTCTTAGGGGTGTCACGATTTGCCAATGTATCGATACATCACGATTACTCTGATGATACAAATAACCTTGTATCAATTGATGTTCTAATTCTTCGGCGCTATTCAAAAAAACAATTTTTTACATTTTAAAATAATTTGCAACATTTTGGGCCAGCGTTATCTTACTCCCATCTCAAAAGAAAATGTTCAATTTTGTTGCATAATGCTATTATAATAAGTCTAAATTGACCAGTCAACCTCTTGTTTGCCTGGCCACATGGAGAAATTCAAGCAGAACAGTACAAGTATCACGATTTGTATCATATTGTGACTTAAGTATGAGTACTGGTCGGGGTATCGATATGTGAGATGGGCATATTGTGACACACCTAATTGTCCTGTTCAGTGTTGTGTGTCAATTTGATTTTATTCATAAATTTTATGCCCTGCAATGGAGCAAGATAATTAATTGTGGCATTTTATTCCTCCGCCATCAGGGATGGGTTGCTGAGTGCCATGTTGCCGCAACACCTCTAACACGTCGGTAATTATCTGTATATTTTGTAAACCAGTTGTACCGGTACATGGGTGACACCAATATATGATCATCTGTATATAGAGCATATATTTTTACCTACAGTTTTAATAAAAATTGCTGATGAGAAAGATTCCTTGTTATTGTGATTTCTTTAACAAGACAGTGCCCAGGTTGCCCAGTGGCCATGCAGAGTTGTGTCCCTTTCATGTACCAGGATCCAATGAGAGTGGATTTGAATCCCAGATCCAACCTGGCTATGATCCTTTGTTTTATTTGTTGTTCTTAGTGCCGAGGCAGGGTAATAACAAGTGTACCATCTGACAACACGACGTGCCCGGAAATCAAACAGACCAGACCCTCCAGACAGACGCTCTATCCACTAGACCACAGATGCGGTCCCTGGGTGCATAGTGCAGGTGGTCCGAGTCTGTTCAACAACAAAGCACAAGATCGACAAACTGAAATAATTTAACTTTTTATTCTTAAAATTATATTGCAATATAGGTGCGAGGTTATGTACACAACATTGTGCCATAACTCTGTACAAAGAAGCTGAACCAAGTTAGCTTCCTGCTACAAGCAGCTACTGTTTACAGGAAAACTACTTCTAACTTCCATTTTCACTAAAGCATGATTTGACCAGTATCTTGAAAAACATTTTTCATCATGCACTCAGTGTCCATTGGCATTTGTCACCACTCGACCCTTCAGTAGCCTGCAAGAATCCACACAACTGGAATACGATGACATGCATCAACCAAGTCAGCGAGCCTGACCATCCTGTTAGTTGCCTCTTATGACAAGCATAGTCGCCTTTTACGGCACGCTATAAGTAGTTTGGTCAAAGAATCCCTCCTAAATATTTGATTTACTTATAGGAATAGTTTGACCTAAGAAAGTGAATCGGAATCTTTTCACCATAATGAATCGTGTGAGGATGTTAACATCCATGTTCTGTCGTATTTAGTAGCATCTGTGTAATTTAAAAGGCAGGACGTCGACTGTTCTGAAGCTTTTTTTGTTAACAGTAGCAAATAACCCTCGAGCCGTCTCGGCTATGCTCGCCTCATTCCGTTTCTGCTCCAGTGACCACACAATGAGTGTAGGCTTATCACATGACCAGACTCGTCTTTTGTTCGTAAACAAATGCACTTATTGTGAAATAAGAACGAGCGGCCCAATGCAAGCCTTTCGGTGCACTTGAGGCAACACATCAAAGTGACCGTATCGCTTATTCTCCATAGGACCTCGATGACAGGATGTGGAGGCTAAATACGCAAATGAAAATAGTTTTTTACGTTTTTGGATATTTTCTCAATGAAACTTAAACTTTTCATGATGTATGTTTATCTAAATGTAACAGATGAAAAACACATGCATGGACTGTGTAAGACGTGACGATGTGACAGAGATATTGTAAGCTAGGCTTTGATAGACACTGGCTTCAAATCTTATCAAGCTGGTATTTAGTATTTTGTAACTCAGCCGTAAAAAACACACACAAGCTTTCTCTTCAATTTGCCCCTAATAAAAAAAACCAGACTATGACAGTTGACTCTGCAGCACTTATGTTGTCGGCTTCACTGTGCGGAGCTCTATTGTTTTGGCTCGAGAACTGAATTGGGCATGTGACGTCATACTTGGAAATTTTTTCATGCATGATTTAAAAACATACAAGACAGTCGACGAAATGTCCATTAAGCAGATGTGATCATCTTCACTCTGCCCATAGTGATGCAATGCAAAATGTTGCAAAAATGTTGCAAAAATGGCCACAATAGGGTCAAGAGTCGCCATTCGGCTTGTCCCTGAATGACACGAGTGGTCACAAATGAGTCCATTGACTGTATGATGAAATCTCAAGATGCCAGCCTAACAACTACTATCAAGAGAAAAGCAGATGAAGAACAGTTATAAAGCAAAAAGCATTTAGTAAGGTTTTCATAGAGGAAATGACAATACTTGAAACAGCTACAGCAAAGGTTTGAAGAAAAAGGATATAAGCAAAAGATACGAAAAACATGATAATGGTACGAGATGTCGGTGGAACAGACAAATGACTTATGCTATTCTTGCCAATGTTGTGTAACTAGTACATCTGATTTGAAACTCGCTAGTCGTATTTGTCGTGGGAGGCGCTAAATATCTCCAGGGTTTGACAAATACCCAATAGGACCAATACTATGAAAAATCAATGGTCCCGCAGAAATGTTGCTAGGCAACTACAAAACATCAGAAAAAGTTTTCACAGCATCGCATAAATATTCCACCAAGTATGTCCTTTCACTGTGCTTTCATAGTTTCCAAGAGTCCAGTTGACTCATTCTTTAGTCTCTAGCCCTTATTAGTGTTTACTTGTCCTTGTCTAGTGGGCCAGCATATTTGTCGGACCCTGTATCTTTATCTAAACAAATGGTTGCCTACGTCAAGATGAGAGTTACACCGATTTCAAAAATAGATTGGGTAAAACAAATGTCGAACAAATTCAACATGTACACCAAAAATATTTTCTTGAAAAATAATTCTCCATATCTGGCAACAAAGTTATATGGAGTGATGAAAGTACCAGTCTATCTACCTACCAGCTACATCCTACGTTCTTCAGCATTTGCAATATGCATTGAATAAACATTTACCATGCCTACACTTGAAGCAGAGAGAGAAAAATGCAAGCCTCATGATTAAAAAATTCAACAATGCATAGGCAATATCATTAATATCAACCTCCATGAGGGACTGGTCTTGAAAACAAGAAAACACAAACCTGAATTAAACAAATGATTCATCCATTAAAAACACAAGATGTGTCAATTATCACCACTGAGTATTAAACTCAAAGTTCAATTGTTATTCAGAGACCATATACTGGTCTCTGTGTAATTCAACATTAAGAAGTAAGGAAATTTTAGTTAAAATAAATATTTTGATTGTTCTAGCTCATACGTACATGATCGTTTGTTTAAATGTTTGTCTTGTATGTCGTTATGTGAGCTCTTAGAAACATATTTGTATTTTAGCTACAGATAGATATGAACTGTGTCCTCTCACACTACAGACCCATGAAGATCCAGGTTAGAATTGGTCTTCAGCAACCCATGCTTGCCGTAAGAGGCGACTAACGGGATCGGGTGGTCAGGCTCGCTGACTTGGTTGATGCATGTAATCGTATCCCTATTGCGTGGAGCGATGATCATCATGTCCATCACTGGATCGTCTGGTCCAGACTCAATTATTTACATGCCGCCATCATAAAGCTGGGATATTGCTGAGTGCGGCGTTAAACAACAAACAAACAAACGTCTCAGATCCCAGCATAAGGACATACAAGATTAACAATACATTCACGAGATAAACATTTGGCAAAATACGTTTGTTCGATGGTGAATTTGAACACACAAACATGTAGGTAGACTTGATAATGCGATGACGTCATGACCAGATAGACACGGAAATACTGGTGTAGAATGAGAAGTGAGCTTGTAACTAACCTGGACACCTGATACCCCATGCAGAGTGTATTCCTCAACCAAACTGATGCAATCACTTCAATTAAGTCAAATTAAATCATAAAAACTTTGCAAACTTCCTTAAATAAACACAGACTTTTTCTCTTTATGGCATACACCCACAATGCACTATCAAGATGGTGCCACAAAGGGAGACAACTTTCGTCTCACCATATTGTTTTGTTTCTACTCTATTACAATCCACTTACAAATTCCTTTGATTCAACATAAATACAGGCAAATCTCACGTTGATGCTTCTGTGGAGAAATACCACGCCCAGCAGAAACTAAAAGTTAAAAACCTACAAACATCAAGATGAAGGTTTGAGTTTTGCATAACAAAATGGTATCACCATGGGTCAATGTACCAACTTGTAAAAACGGAGATACATTTCGAATAAAATACAAAGAGTAAACAGTTGTTAAAAAAACACAATCGTCAACATGAGGACAATGCTTGGCTTGACGGAAACAATGAAAATTCAAATAACAAGACTCGATGAACAAATCACAACCGTAGGACAAATAAAAAGTATAATGACTCCATGCATATCAGCGACAAGACAAATGCATACCAGCGTACAATTATCAACAATATCTGTTTCGTCTGTACAAACAAGTTTCAGGAACCATTTCCATGGTAACTGACACTTCATAACTTACAATCATTGTTCACCGACCATTTTACCCGGCAGTATGTACACACATGAAGTAAACAGTATAAAAAAGTTGTCAAAGACCACATACTCCAAAGCTGACTATTTAACAATTTGCTTAAACAGGTTTAAGCATTCTATGGCACCTTCACTTGGCTGGTTTAAAGTCACATCTCTTGTATCATTGACGACGATCAAGAATTGATTTGTGTATTTTGATTATCAGAGAAATAATCGGAACTGATGCTGTGAAATCAAAGAGATCTGAAATATCAGTCTTTTTAAAATATACACTTATATGTTTATCATTGTTCTAGCATGAAATTAGTTTATTCCACCTATATTTCCTACTGACTATCAGAAATACCAGTATTTGCTAAAATTGTAATTACAATCCTCAATAAAACCGAACAAATATACTTCATTATGCAGGCAATTATGAAAAAATACTAATAGTCAAAAACAATATGATGATCAATTATGTCAAAGAAAACAAATGAAAACAAAACTAAAAACAGTATGATTCAAGTTATCATTTTTAAATTAACAAAATACTTGAGGATTAAGATTCCTTGTTCAATTTCCTCAAATTTTATTTTTAAATTTTAAGGATCTTGCTATTAAGATAAGTGTTTTTTTAAACGTCAGCCATTGAACAATCATACGTTATTAAACGTCTGTACTATACATTTACAATCATACGTAATTAAACGTCTGTACTATACAATACAATCATACTGAATTAAAGAATCCAAAGTATTCAACATCGGAAAATTTACAACCCTCATCAATTAATACGTCAGACTTAGAAATTCTTTTTTTTTAAAAGACTTGTGTATTAATTTTCTTTTTTAACCTTATTCCTACTTTAAAGAGACAAAAATATTTAGTATGCTTTCATTTTCTGTCAGTTATATTCAGTTCCGATTTGTATCACAATTGAAGTATTGCGAACTGGTTCAAATTATAGACCCAAATGCAACTAAAAAATGTGGACGACCATCACTGGATTCTACCTCAGTTTTTAGTAGTCTTGGGCCAGCGAACAAGAGTGAATTTTGAAGGCTGCACGTTTACCCCAACTATCTACCAATGCCATAGAGTGACTGTGTGAGTGAGTATGGCTTTACGCCCATTTTTCAATATTCCAGCAATATCATGGCAGAGGACACCAGAAATGGGCTTCACACATTGTACCCATGTCTGGAATCAAACCTGGGTCTTCGGCATGACGAGTGAACACTTTAACCACTAGGCTACCTGACCGCCCACCAATGCCATAGACATACAGACTCATCAGACGTCGTAGGCACAGTGAATGTTTCGTATCGTCTGAGTGCACTTATTTCGTGTCTCCTCGACTATTTAACACTCATTATCAGGACCCAAAGCAGGATAGACAAAGTCAATCATTTTTAAGCTAACAAATTCAAAAATACTTTAATGACCATATCATAATGTACGATGGTTTGGCGATAAAAAAAGGTGTGACCTTGACATGACAGACAGCGGCATCCGCACTCCTTCCAGCTCAGGCATTGACATAATCAATGCTTTAATCCAGGACAGGCAATATTGGTCGACTTTATCTTGAATAAACTTGACACATTTAACAATCATTGTCTTGTCATCTACGATTCATGACTTATACTACTAAAAACATGTTAAGGACCATATTACTATAGTTAATGTATCAGGCCGTGAGGGAGTAATATATATTGGTTATAACGCAACCAGATGATTTGGATGTTGTTTAATCACAGTTGTATTCCGTGAGTGGGAGAATTGAGATTCTGATAAGGGAATTGGAGGAATTTTTTGTCACTGCAGTCATAGAGAGGGCCTTGTTTTATATGTCTTATCTAACACATATACACGACAGGTCTATACTTCATCGCACAACACGTGCCAGGGGAATTTGGGTACATAGGTTTGCAACATTTCACACTCACTTCATCATTGCATATTTACAAATAGTAACCATAGCAACGAGTAACCGTGGTACACAGTAACAGTATCCATGGCTATAGTATTCATGGTTACTTGATAGAAACCACAGTAACCATGGCAACACCTCCTAGCTGGTAACCATAGCATCTGTGGCAACATGTTGCCTGATAGTGCCCATAGCAATGAGTAACCAGGGCACATAGCAACAGTATCCATAGCAACGCTTTGCTGAAGATTCACGGATTGGACAAGAACGTTCTCAACTTTAATCTGACTTCCCTCCATTACTGTAAATCTTCCAATAACCCAGAATTACTTACACCTTGTTTCTAAGAACCCACCTTCTAACACATTCTAACATGAACAACACAAATTTTGTTGCTCTCAAACCCGCTTCACACATCTCATTCCTTGTCACAAGGCAAATATTCACACTGCCAATGGAACAGAAATAATGCATCAAAATATCAAATATGGAAACTGTACAGGAAGCGAGATTCAGTTCATGTACCTCACAAATCAATGTCTTCAGGCCATAGTGTGATAATATACTACTCAAAATAGGTTAAAGAACACCCACAATTGAAAGGCTGTGTGGTGCAATACCCACCAGCCATGACAGATGACCTGTAGTCATATCAAGAATCAGACATTCTTTAACTTTCTCTTGAGTAGTATACATTACTGATTAAATTTGAATTCTTAAAGTTGGCAGACTTCAAACTCAAAATGAAATTAACAGTTAACCAGACAAGTACATGGAAGCTGTGTTTGCAAAACCAACACAAACTTGTTATATAAACCTATCCTTTGTTTCGGGGACTGAAAATACGTAACGGCCATCATGACATGCACATGGGTACCGAAACATTGACACACGGACGAATGTTAAAACCTGTTTGTAACAGTAACACCCCACTGCTCCACCATCGCCCTTCTGACAGCATTCAGTCCACCATCACTATACACACAATATTCAATAGTTATACCTTGAAATAAAGCTCAACCTTTCCTCACAAAACTCTACATGTGTTACAAAACAGCGCTGTAACCCTTTCACATCTGTTACAACATAATGCTGTGATACTTTCACATCTGTTACAACATAATGCTGTAACACTTTCACATCTGTTACAACATAATGTTGTAACCCTTTCACATCTGTTACAACATAATGTTGTAACCCTTTCAGATGTTACAACATAATGCTGTAACCCTTTCACATCTGTCACAACAATGTTGTAACTCTTTCACGTCTGTTACAATGCTGTAACCCTTTCACTTCTGTTACAACATAATGTTGTAACCCTTTCACACCTGTTACAACATAATGTTGTAACCCTTTCACACCTGTTACAACATAATGCTGTAACACTTTCACATCTGTCACAACAATGCTGTAACCCTTTCACATCTGTTACAACAATGTTGCAACCCTTTCACATCTGTTACAATGCCGTAACCCTTTCACATCTGTTACAACATAATGCTGTAACCCATTCACATCTGTTACAACAATGCTGTAACCCTTTCACATCTGTTACAATTGCGTAACACTTTCACATCTGTTACAACAATGTTGCAACCCTTTCACATCTGTTACAACATAATGCTGTAACACTTTCACATCTGTTACAACAATGCTGTAACCTTTTCACATTTGTCACAACAATGCTGTTACACTTTCACATCTGTTACAACAATGCTGTAACCCTTTCACATCTGTTACAATGCCGTAACCCTTTCACATCTGTTACAACAATGTTGCAACCCTTTCACATCTGTTACAATGCCGTAACCCTTTCACATCTGTTACAACAATGTTGTAACCCTTTCACATCTATTACAACACAACTCTGTAGCATGTTCACATTACAATATAACACTGTAATGGCTTCACAATTGTTCCAATACAGCGCTGTAGCTTTCACATCTGTTGGAACATAACACTTCACTGCTTCACGGTGGTCCTGCCTGTCACACACTGTCAAATATTTGCCACTATTGTCTTGTACACACTCTCCGCACACTAAAACGGAGGACCTAAAACAGCTGGCCTTCAACAAGGCCCGAGTAATCTTCATTTTTTCCGCGGTCTGTTATGATTACTGGAGCTTGGAGAGTTGTTATTCGTAGCCTGCTGTGCAACCTCTTGTGCTCGTCTGGAAATAAATATGATAATCACAATATTGATATGCTAATTAAAAGATAAAATCGGAATCTAAGGACCTGGCCATTTATTATTCTGGGTGCTGGGATTTTTTAACAGTTTGTTCCCGAAAATTGAAGACAAAAATAATTTGGCTCAGCTCTTACCCTTCTCAACAATAATTGTAACTGGATATGCTGGATGTTCACAAAAACAGTGATGTGGGCACTAAATTTATAGAGTGATTTTTTTAAATGACTGAAATTCATTTTTGAGCATTCAAAATATTTACATAAAACACAGCACAATACATCAAAATATGAATTTGCATATAGACTTTCTAACATATTATATGCACTTCCCCGCCTAGATATTGCTGGAATATTGCTAAAAGCGGCGTAAAACCATACTCACTCACTATATGCACTTCATTCAAATTTTTAGCATATGCCTTGCAAACCACATTTCTTAACTTTCATCTGAATTCTAAAAAACATTTACCGATTCTGATATGAAACAATTCAAACTGTAACATATTTTCTTCTCAAAACCTAAACTTTCAAAATGCTCAAACTGTAAGCAAAATAATGAACATAACAAATACAAAACTGAGAATAAAATAGTCCAAAACATTTTAAAAAACCAATGTCTCTAAACTCTAACAACTGTATCATAGCGTAAGGACACGAGTCTCAGCATGAAGCTGGAAGTTGAATGGAAACCAGGGGAGGATTTAACACAGAAAATAGCATTTAAAAATGGCAAAATTATGAACACATGGTGCACAGAACATGTACTACAAACAAAATTTATATTTCAAATGATACACAGCATAATGGTGTTTTTCGAACTTGTATCAAGACTGGTATATGATATTAACTCACAATATTCCAAACATGAAGTTGAATTGAAAAGCTCTACAAGTATGAGATTCAATGCTCCTGGTAGCCTTTGCATAGGATATATGAACTGCCTCCAAGTGAGATTGGTGCGATTTTCTTTAACATTTGTCAAGGTCGAAAACATTCAATAATTACTCCCTTTCTTATCATGTTTATAATGAAATACAAAATAAAAAATGATTTTATTTTTTTAAAAATTTAAAGTGATTTCTTGTAATTTGTGTCGGAGAAATAAAATATAAATATATTGAATGAATGTTTTTAAAGTCAAAGGATTACATCCAGACAAGGGGAAATGAATACTGTTATCCCAATTTTAATTGTATTCTTTTGTGAAATTTTGGTTGGTAGATTTGAAAACAGGTACTTAATAAGATAAGGAATTGACTTTGACTGAGATTTTACAAAGTTCCGCCAGTATGCTGCGTGTTTCTGATGCAAAAAAGAAAAAGCAAGTTGCAAAGTACCGTGGTCTACCTGCTGAGGTCCTCAATATCCACAAGCATGGAGTCCTGCTCCATGTGCAGGTCGTCCCTCTCCATCAACATCTGGACCAACTCCTCGTTCAGACCTAGCAACATAATGATGTACACATGATACCGTATATAGCGAGTTTTTCGTACCTGGAATTAGACCAACCCAGAAACATAATCGTGGCGAACTGGGATTCGAACCAATGATCATAGACTTCCGGTTTTCCCAAGGGATGTCACTCTGCAGAGCAAACTGCAGCGCCTCAGACTATAAGGGTCACCCGTAACCCCACATAACTTCCTTGCTAGCCCAACAAAGTATTTAATATATATCACGGTCTGTCAGTTTAGTGAGTGAGAGGGTATGGTTTTACGCTGCTTTTAGCAATATTCCAGCAATATCACGGCGGGGGACACCAGAAATGGGCTTCACACATTGTACCCATGTCGGGAATCGAACCCGGGTCTTCGGTGTGACGAGCTTAAGCTTTAACCACTAGGCTACGCCCCCTCTGTCAATTTAATGAGGAAACCCAAAGTGATGCAGGTCAGATGCAGGTCACCTAAGGAACATTGGATTCTAACCTACAACCAGCACAAGCTCCTCACAGCGATAGCCTGTTCGCCGAGCTCTCAAAACTGACGCTGCCACCAGTCAAAGCTCCCAACTATGATAGCTACAACCATGCTTGGAGTTGAACTCGCTGTCGACTGACGATTATGTTGACAAACAAGTGATGACTGCCATGACACTGAATACTCTTACCACAGCTAAATTATTTTCTTTGTTTACCAATTTGAATTTCTATTTGATTTCAACTTTCATTGGTATGGTAAGAATTTGAGGGGGGAGTTGGGTGATTTTCCGTTAGTCTGCAATCTCGAACCAATCTGATTAAACAAAAAATAAGCAAATTCAACTGGGAAATATGGTCAGTCGTAAACCGTTTAAAAATTAACTGTATTGGCATTCCCAAAGACATAAACGTTACTACACTTGGATTAGAGGGCAAATTTCAAGATTCTTGTAATGGCCGTCCCACACTGGTGGCAGCTATGTTACCAAGATGTTACCAAGATGTAACGGAGGTGTCACGCGCTGGAAAGGAGCTGGACCCTGACATGGCTAAGGGAAGCAACTCTTCACACTGAGCAGCAGAGTTGTGTCCCCTTAGACCACAAGGGCTAAGTCAGATAAGTGACAGTAGTACCAGTGATTCAGTCTAAACTGTATAGACCAGAGCAAGAGTCTCACCCTCTATCTGGGTGTGAAGGTCATTGACGAGGACTTGTAATTGAGCTAAATTCATGTCGAGTAGCACCTTCTTGTTGATTTTGCGGCGACGCCCATCTCCAAGGCTGGGAATACCCACCTGAAAACATCAGTAGGTCTTCACTTGACAAGCATTAGTTACACACCAATCTAATAACTGAACAACACAGAAGGTGAGCAGGGCTCACTAGTACCCCCGACTTCGACTCAAACATATTTCTAAGTACAAATCATGAAAAAAAGCGATCTTTTCTCAGGAAAAATCCACTTATTGAAATCTGCAGTGCCCCCCTTCTATTAGTTTGGAAACTGTTCATGAAAAGAATCCATGAAGCAGGTTTCAAGGTATAGGTAGCACAAAGTTTAGGTAAAAAAAAATAATTTTCTTGTTCAGGAAATCCAAATATTGAAATCAGACTTTGTACTGCCCCTCTCCTATATGTATTAACAGTGTTTACCAAGTTTGAAAAGAATCTATGCAGTAGTTTTCAAGTCGCACAATAAAATGTCCTCGGAAGGATGGACGGACAGCCAGACGGAATTCCTTGGTATATCTATATACCCCAACCCTTTTAGGTGGAGGTATAATAATGCACTGTGGATATTATCAACAATTTCAAGAACATCATATTCAGTAACCCTTCTTTCTTTTTCTCGTGTTCTAGTATGATTATGAATAAAGCCTTACCCTGGTTTTCATAGACATATAGACACATGTTTACTGCAGTAGCTGTAGTCCCCAACAAACCAATGTGTATTGATATATTTGGTATTAGTTAGCTCTGAGTGTAATATATAACAAAAAATATTCAGTCATCAATATTAGTAATAAGTGAAAATGAAATACAGGAATTCGTTTGCCATGTTTCCTTTGTAAGGATATCTGCAGAGAACCTAGACTTGTGAAATGTCTGTGTGTGACAGTCATGACTCACCATATGTCAAGACTGTTCACCATGTCACAACTCACCATATCTGCTATAGGAGATTTCTTTTTAAGCTGTTTTTCCACTTCAAGTTGCATGTGGGCCATCGTGCAAGCCTGGAAACAGAAAACAGATCCACTGCAATAGTAGCACCAGCGACGACATGGTGGCCTGCGAATACATCTACAGCAACAGCACCATGGTGGCCTGGGAATACACCTACAGCAACAACAGCACCATGGTGGCCTGAGAGTACACCTACAGCAACATGGTGGCCTGAGAATACACCTACAGCAACAACAGCACCATGGAGGCCTGAGAGTACACCTACAGCAACAACAGCACCATGGTGGACTGAGAGTACACCTACAGCAACAACAGCACCATGGTGGCCTGAGAATACACCTACAGCACCATGGTGGCCCGAGAATACACCTACAGCACCATGGTGGCCTGAGAATACACCTACAGCAATGACAGCACCATGGTGGCCTGAGAATACACCTACATCAACAACAGCACCATGGTGGCCTGCGAATACACCTACAGCAACAACAGCACCATTGTGGCCTGTGAATACACCTACAGCAACAACAGCAACATGGTGGCCTGAGAATACATCTACAGCAACAACAGCAACATGGTGGCCTGAGAATACACCTACAGCAACAACAGCACCATGGTGGCCTGAGAATACACCTACATCAACAACAGCAACATGGTGGCCTGAGAATACACCTACAGCAACAACAGCAACATGGTGGCCTGAGAATACACCTACAGCAACAACAGCACCATGGTGGCCTGAGAATACACCTACAGCATCAAATACAGTAAATTCTGTTTATAACGAACATGCTAATAACGAACTGACGGATATAACGAACTGTTATTTGTTGTCCCATTCATAAGCTGTGTGTGCTGCATATATGCTTATAACAAACTACAGTTATAACAAACTAAAATTAGTGGTCCCTTTAAGTTTGTTTACTGTACTTGGAAACATTGCATATTTTACAACTGATTAGAGTATGACTGAGCGAATGTTGTTTAACGCGGCAGTCAGCAATTCCAGCTTTATCACAGAGGCTGTCAACAACTGAGTCTGGGCCAGGCAAACCAGTGACAATACACATGGTAACCTTAACCTCTGCATAGAAAACAATGCCCAGCAGAACAGGAAACACAAGTCATGTTTTTATCTCAAATATCAAATCTGTATTGACCAAGTTTATTTGTTAGCACCCGTTCATTTACCTGAAAGGATACGATGTAATTTTTTCTGCAGAAGACAAACACGTTTTGATTGCAAATGTGGGGATTGTGTTTTCACTGGTGACATCCCTCATTCGCTTAATAGACGGGGTATATAAATTAGCATCAATTTTGAAGGCTTGTACAGTGGGGTCGCCCATACGGCGGCGATATACGGCATATATATGGGAGGGCAGTTACCGGTTACCGGACACAAGACATACACTTCCTGGCGACATCCCACACACTGTATACGAAATAATGAGCTTCAAAACCGACATTTCTTTAACTTTTCCACCCACACATGATTCAAGCATGTTTTCCATGTGGGTTCAGAACACAGCATGGTTACAAGTAAACCTGGCATTGTGTTTCAAATATTCAAGACACACTATCATGTTATCGCTTATCTCATTGATTTTGCTCAGTCGTGGACACAGATAGCAACAGAAGGGTTTTAACTTGATGAAAAATTAAACCAGTTGGTTCTCAGCTGGTGGGGAGTGGATGCTGTATTTCTAGGTTGGAAATGTGTGCTGCTTAGGCTAAAAAAATAAATAGTCTTGGTTCTCAGGCACCCCCCCCCCCCCCCCCCCCCCCGCATCATCATAAAGTTCGCAGAACGTTTAAGTTTTTATTTCCATTTTTAAAAAAAATTAAAAAATCCTTAAATATTCCAAGTCCAAAGGTAGTCAAATACTGTATTCAAGCATTTTACTCATCATTTCCCAGGTTCAGTGTACGCAACTGTTTATTTTGTTACACAACTGTTTATTTGGTTACACAACTGTTTATTTGGTTACACAACTGTTTATTTGGTTACACACTAGTTTGAAAAAAAACCAAACAAAACCCAAACACCAACAAAAAAACACCGCCCACCCGCCCGAACTATATTTTCAAAAAGCCATTGCCCGAGAACCAGTTCTTTTATTTTTTTAAGCCTGGTGTATCTGAATGGTTCAGTAGGCTTCAAGGCAGAAACAACTTTGTTTTCTGGGTTGCATGTTTTCGGTCACTGCCTCAATACACTAATATTTTTCTGTGAAAGGAGTGAGTGAGTGAATATGGTTTTACGCCGCTTTTAGCAATATTCCAGCAATATGGAAAATGGGCTTCACACATTGTACCCATATGGGGAATCGAACACAGGCCTTCAACGTGACAAGCGAACGCATTAACCACTAGGCTACCCCACCGCCCCATTCTGTGAAAGGAACACCCTGACAAAGTAAATAGGTTTCACAACCTAGATTTTTCAAGACACCCAGCATGTACAATGAACAAATAATTTCTTTTGGTCAACAGACATGCTAAACACATTGCAAAAGTTTGGGCCTTACAATTAAGGAATCTAGGAAATATCAGGAAGTATCTTACCAGGGAATCTACTATCATCCCTGTTCTCTCCCTTGTCATAGCCAGGCTAGATTATTGCTATAGTCTTCTGGCAGGTGCACCAAAATCAATTACAAAGTAGCTTCAACGTGTTCAAAACACAGCTGCTAGGATTGTCACGCGCTGTAGCCAGTATCATCACCTCTGTGCTTTACAGCTTCCACTGGCTTCCAGTTCATCAGAAAATAAGTTACAAAATTCTCTGTATTTTCTACAGATGCCTGTCCCGTAATACTCAACTATATTTGTGTGACCTGCTTACCAGATACACTCCAAAAAGATCTCTGAGATCTGAATCTAAACTCCTTTGGACTCTTCCATCAACCAAAACTGTGAACTATGGCCATCAGTCTTTCTCTTTCGTCAGTGCCAAAGAGTGGAATAACCTCCCTCTACGACTGAGACAGTCTCTAAGCTTTCCACTCTTCAAGTTTCGCCTAAGATCTCATCTGTTCCTTTCAAGATTAACTTTTTTCACTGTGACTGTGCGCTTCGAGCAGTGATGTGCGATAGAAGTTGACTATTAGTAGTAGTAGTAGTAGTAGTAGTAATAGTAGTTGGGCCTACCTGTGCTAGTTGCACATACCTGGGCTAGTAGTAGTAGTAGTAGTAATAGTAGTTGGGCCTATCTGTGCTAGTTGCACCTACCTGTGCTAGTTGCACCTACCTGGGCTAGTAGTAGTAGTAGTAGTAGTAGTTATAGTAGTTGGGCCTACCTGTGCTAGTTGCACCTACCTGGGCTAGTTGCACCTACCTGTGCTAGTTGCACCTACCTGGGCTAGTTGCACCTACCTGGGCTAGTTGCACCTACCTGGGCTAGTAGTAGTAGTAGTAGTAGTAGTAATAGTAGTTGGGCCTACCTGTGCTAGTTGCACCTACCTGTGCTAGTTGGGCCTACCTGTGCTAGTTGGGCCTACCTGGGCTAGTTGGGCCTACCTGTGCTAGTTGCACCTACCTGGGCTAGTTGCACCTACCTGGGCTAGTTGCACCTACCTGGGCTAGTTGCACCTACCTGGGCTAGTGCTAGTTTGGCTTCTTCCTGGAGTCTGGCCTGTTTCTTAAAGAAGTCCTCATCATCTTCCACGAGTATGGAGGGAAGTGGATGGCCGGACTTGGTGCTGGACTTGGACTTGGAGGCAGACTTGGAGCCTGGCTCCAGGGACTGGCAACCACTGGTGACAGGTTTTGGCTGAAACATGGAAGAGTAACATGAGTGACTGAGTTTTTAGATCACTTTTAGCAATATTCCTGCAACATGACCATGCAGGGGACACCAGGGCCTAGATTTTCGAAACGATCTTAGCTAAGATAAATCTTAACAACTTACGTTCAAAGATAAGATATCTTAAGGTTAAGATAAGATAGATTTTCGAAACTATCGTAAACCTGTCGCAGATCGTTCAGAGTTACGATACCTGTCGTAACTCTGACAGAGAACTCATTTGTGTTAGAGATTGAAAAAGCGGGGTGTTTCCCAGTGACGTCACGGGGATTTCCCAGCTGCATATATATGCGTTCAGCATTTAACATGCGTGTTCAAGTCTGATGTTAAGTGATGTATACTGTTTATTTTTATGTTTATGTCAAAAGTCAAGTTTATATTAGTGTAAACACCAACATTATACGTGGAAACACTCAAAACAAAAATTGTTCAGGAAGCAGCGCACCCACAAGCAAGTTTATATGATAATCTAAGCTTGTTAAGTTTGTTTTGTTACTTATGTATCCAATATATTTCACGAATAAACCAAGGACTTAAATACAATATCAAGCTATTAGTATTTAGATGATGAAATTATTTTTTTATCTATCTAGATCCATAATTATTTTCAAAATTTAAAAGTGACACTAATTTTCGTTCGCAAAGAGAGATAATTTCGGAATTGTCAAGTTATGTTGTCTCATGGAACACGCCACAAGTTAACGTGAACATACATATAATGTAGTCATTTTCTATCCTTTTAAATTAAGTAGAGCTAATGAACTGATTTGTCTTATTTCATTTAAATCTGGCTGAGGAGCGAAATACTTTGTAATGTGTCAAATCTATTCCAGAACGTAGTTCAATGATGTTTGGCTTGTCTGACAGAATTGCTGAGGATCATTTACTATTGTTTGTCCGTTGACCCTATACGTTACAACGATTTTATTGTCTGAATGGTCTCAAGGATATCTATATTTTTGTAAAACATAAAACGGGAAGATGTACCTAGACTTAAATATTAAAAAGACCAAAATATTTTAAAACCGGTTTATTGAATGCAAAGATTATTGTGTTGAAAATGTGTATTTTATGTTGATCAGTAAATTTCATTCAATAAACATATATTTGAATGTGAATTTTGGACAATGTGCAATCTATGCTACATTTTGACGAGAACCAGAACGAGCATGGGAACTCATTTTTTATTTGATTTGTCGATACAAAAATCTGTGCTTAACTTTTGCTGTCAAAATTTCAGTAAATTGTTATATTTATTAGGGAATACATCTATATGCCGTTAATCACCTGTTTTTAAAGAATGCAATTGTTCAACAGACAGTTTTTAATCACTTTTTATCAAATATTTGTCTTTTAAGAGGATATAGATAACGTAGGTATTGAATTTAAAACGAAACAAATTACAATTACTTTTGCAAGAAAAATATTAGATATTGTATACAAATATTTGATCACATGTATTTCCTTGTTAAGTCAATAAATACTACACTGTATAGTTAAAATTCAATTATTAAAACCACCCGTCCCACACGATTTTAGATTTAAAAACTTATGCGAAACCTTTATGGTTGTTTTTACATATGTAGATTGATATAATTTTATAAAATGCGAAAATAAAGACTAAAGCATTGACACAAATGCGACTCAGAAAATATAACAGCGGAAATCTGCGGTTTATGAAAACTGTACCATTGAGCAAGGTGTCCCGGGCGAATACAAAGGGAAACCACTCTCAACTAGAGTTTGAACTAAGATTAGCTCCCCCTAAACTATCAATAAGGTCACGGTCATTACTGTAGCCTGCCGACACCTTCCGTTTTTATCCTTCCCAAATTATCGAAAAGGTATGTTGTTTCACACTTCTTCAGCATGGACTTGGATAGAAAAATAATGTAAGCTATCGACTCCACAGTTATGTGTATTGCTGTCGCAATTAAGAACATTTTTGACGTGAAATCCTTGATGCGTTCTTCGTGTTTTCGAATTGTCAATTTGAATCACTCAGTTTTACAAAATGAAATGTCAATGTTTGAACGTAAAGCGGACTAGTTGTTTGGCACAATATCTATGGAAAAGTATGCCGCCATCTTGTATGAAGATAAAATAAACTTACGACAGGTATAGAGCTATCTTAGATTTACGACAAACTTAAGATATCTTAGGGCTATGATAGTTTCGAAAATAGGCTACGATAGCCTACGATTTCCTTACGACAACTTTACGATAATCTTAGGGCTAAGATCGTTTCGAAAATCTAGGCCCAGGAATGGGCTTCACACATTGCACCCATGTTGAGAATGGAACCCGGGTCTTCGGTGTGACGAGTGAACGTTTTAACCACTTGGCTACCCCACTACCCCAAAAGACACGATGGGGATACTGAACTCTCTGACAGCACCATTCTATAGTGAAGCCTCACAGAGCACCGCCTTAGGGATAAAGGTCAGCCTGACGGCTTGATCTGTTTGGTGTCTTCATAGCTGACTGACTGAGTATTTCAGTTAAATCACGGTGTGTCAGCTTCATGTTGGAGGCCAGGCCAAAGTGATGCCGGTCTCAGACGTCTACCCACTTGGTTAAGCCCAGGACCAGGGTATAGTGCTGATAAAATTTGCAACATAATCGATCGTGACAGTTGGTGTGTTACCACTGCAGAAACTTACTGAACACATTCTTACCATCTGGTACCCATAATACAGCTGGTGTTACCATGACAACTGAACATATTCTTACCATCTGGTACCCATAATACAGCTGGTGTTACCATGACAACTAACTGAACACATTCTTACCATCTGGTACCCATAATACAGCTGGTGTTACCATGACAACTGAACATATTCTTACCATCTGGTACCCATAATACAGCTGGTGTTACCATGACAACAAGCTGAACACATTCTTCCAATCAGGTACCCATAATACAACTTGTGTTACCATGACAACAACTAACGGCGCACCTTTATTAAATGTGGAAAGGATGTTTCAACCAGCTATGTTGCCAACTAATGTATATGTAGTATATGAAAGATGGTCTGGGTTCAAACTGACAACAAGCTGATCATTGCTGCATCGATGCCAGGGGTCAGACTGAAGGTCACAACGAGTGGGATTTACATCAAATGAGTGAGTGAGTGAGTTTGGTTTTACGCCGCTTTTAGCAATATTCCAGCAATATCACGGCGGGTGACACCAGAAATGGGCTTCACACATTGTACCCATGTCGGGATACGAGCCCGGGTCTTCAGTGTGACGAGCGAACGCTTTAACCACTAGGCTACCCAACCGCCCCAGGATTTACATCAAACAAAACACAAACACTGATGGAGAAGAGTAGCTATGAAGCTGATCTCCCAGGTTCCAAGTTTCCCACATAGCGTGCAGGTGTTTATCCTGTCCTGAGGCACTACAAAGTTTCAACGTCTCATACTCAAATCTCGATCATCTTTCTGCAAGTCAATCCTTTAGAGAATACAGAAGACACTTTAACACAAGATCATTCCGTCAAAACAGATTAACAATCAATTTGACAAACTTTACTCCATATTTAGCTTTTACCAGCTCTGTTCGGCCATTGCTGCCTCCAGGGACCAGCAGATCAATATCCAAACTCTGAGATTTTTCCAAATGTCAAATGCTTAAATATTATTGACAGCTTTTGCACATAATCACTGAACTAACTTGACAACTTGCTTCGTTGGGGTCACACAGTTTAGACATGTCAAAATACCCTAAACAGAACATTTCTCTCACTGAAAGGTCATGTTCGCAATAAAAAGTTTTCAGAATTTAAATTTAAATGCAATTCGAACAAATGAGGCTTCAATTTTTGGTGAATGCAGAATGCTTCTTAACAAATTGTGTTAGTTTCTTAATTCCATTTAAAATCAAAAGAACGGCTATATTAGATGTTTGAAATGAGTTATGGTAAATAACGATTAGTCCCCAACACTCCAACAAAATGAACAACGGCAATGTAGCTCACCTGCATGTAGAGCCAACATTTTACAATTTTAACAAATGTTGCTATCAGCACTGATATACACCCATTCTCTGCATAAATCATGAGTGAGTGAGTGTGTGAGTAAAAGGGAAACAACTACATTCAATCAATGATTTTTAATCTTTAAAAAAGAAAAGAAAAAAAAAGAAAGATTTTTTTTCACAATTTGCTTGTTTTAAGAAGTAAATTCATTATTTTGTTGAGTTTCAGCCATGTGGAATCTGAGTAACAATACATGCTTGTCATAAGAGTCAACTAAACAGAAAGAGTGGTCAGGCTCCGTGACTTGGCTGATGACATGTCATCGTGTGCCACAAGATATGGATTCACGCTCTTGATGTCAAATCACTGGATTATCTGGCCCAGACTCGATTATTTACAGACCAGTGTCATCCAGCTGGAAAATGGCTGATTGCAGTGTTGATGAACAATAAAAAACTGCAGACAAAAATCTAAATATGTACTGATGATTATTAGTATAATTGTTTACCTGTAGCTCAAATAATACTACAAGTAATATGAGGGAAATATATTACTCAACTTTGTATAGGGATGAAATTGAAGTCATAATGTGGATGATTTAGGTTTGGTCAGAATTTGACCACAACACATTTATCAAACAATGCTTGATTAACACATTAATGTATTAGAAGTGCATCATAAACGCTCAGCATGGTCAATTTGCTTGGCACTGCCATTAGATAACATTCAACAAACTGACCAATCAGAATCAAGGATTCTTTGTCACTGTGGAATACCATAAACTAAGTCAGAATCATTTATTCCTTAGAGTCGCAGCTTTGTAAAAATAAACTGAAAAATATTGGTTATATCTTGAAACTTTCCATTTTTCTAAACTTAATAATCTCCTCTGGGTTTTGGGCAAAGTAATTCTCAATATTTATACAGAACAGAATTTCAGGGACAGGCATAAAAGCATCAATCAGTCTTTCCCATAGGAGATCTGGAAGCAAGTATACTCAATACTTGTCCAAAATAATTCAATTTGCTGGTCTGGAAGTCAAGACACACCTTCAGTTCCCCTGCATTCATTACCAGATATACACATTCACGTCAGCAGTAAGTGAATAAGTTACAATTTGATTAACGGGCCAGAGCCACCCTCGGAATAGCTTTTAATCACCATTAATGACAGCAAAGGAATGACTCATTTTCTGCCGAGAATTAATTCCAACGTAATCGCTAAACTCTTTGAACTAAGATTTACGATGAATTGAAATCAAATAAATCGCGGACATGTTCGATTGTCTATTTTTGTAGTTGTCAACTGGTAGGTCCCATGGGAGCCTAGATCAGCTCTACTTTTGGAGGATGGCGAACAACAGCCACAAATCCATACTCGTACATCTTCCAGGACTTTTTCTGAAGAAGATGAAGCTTGCCTGGAATGCATGCAAGTCTTGAGTGCATTTCAATGGCCAATCAGAACTCAAGCAAGTTTGCATAATCCATCCTCTATTTTCCAGTGTAGTATGTCCCCAGGTACCCATTCACAATCATAGCTTCAAAGTGATGTCCCCATCTCTATTTCAAGACCTCTTTTTACCAAGTTAGCAGGGAATGTCTCTCGTTCGTTATGATAAATACCCACGTACCCAAACATAACGATAGCTTTAATTTACGTCACCATCTCTATTTCAAGACCTCTTTTTACCAACTTAGCAGGGAATGTCTCGTTCATTATGATAAATACCCAGGTACCCAATCGCAACCATAGCTTCAAGTGACGTCCCCATCTCGATTTCAAGACCTCTTTTTACCAACTTAGCAACAGTATTCTGACTCCGAGCTGATCAGTTCTATTTTACCCCCTATTGCCGAGCACCAGGAATCAGGTAACAACAAGTACCATCATTAAACATCGTTTGGGATGGCACAGCCTGGGATCAAACTGCTACCGTCTGCTCTCCGGGCAGACACGCTCCAACCACAAAGCTGTCATCGCGACTGATTTACGACACCCATCTGAGGAACATTTAATTGCAAAGGCTCATTACCCTGGAGCCATGACATCTATATGCCTTGAAACACTTGCTGTTATTTATAAGATGCTAATCCTAATTGTTAATCCCCATTTTTGTGTACATCGACTGTCTGCCATCCTAAAAGAGATGTGCAAGTATGTCACTGATGAATTACTGTTTATATTTATATTTATTACTTACTAAATGTCAGGTGACCTTGGCTATATAAGCCTTGGTCCAGGGAGATTGAGAGCAAGGAGAAAAGAAAGGTCTTACCCTTAGCCTAGCTAGGGTTAGGCTGGGTGCTCTGGGGCACCTGGACAACAACCACAACCACTATGTGCTGACCTGGCACATAGTGTCTTTTGTATGTATATATCTACATGTATAAAGTAAAACTGTATTTACCGCAAGCCATCGTCTCCAAGTTGTCACTTCCTACTGAGAACCATACCTCGGCCTCTTGCATATACGGGTATGCAAATTATTCATTAATCAATGTCAGACCACATGCGTTGTTAAAACCACGGGGGTGATCTGGCAATGAAAACATCAGTACCTATACAGCAGACTCCATCCCTGATATTGTCATTAACAAACAAAACCTCTCTCACAGATAACACTGATAACCACCTTAAAAACATTTTCTCAACTTACCTCTTGTGCATTTTTCACTTGTGGTATGCTACTGTTCTTCTCCACAGTTGCCTCCCCTGAATCTTGTGGCTCCCCCACTGCCTCATTCATGAAACATATCTGTAAGTTCATACCACTCTGTAACCGGGTTTGTAAGTTGGGCTTTTTGAAAGTCCTTTCATTATAATAGTATTCTTCATCAGTTCCCATTGCCAGCTTCCGACGGATTTCCTCGCGATCATTGAGGCGGGTCTGAAAAACAACAACGCAGATTTGAGATTTCAGAAACAAAATTAACTTGGAACGGTTAACAAAATCATGTTAACAAAACAACAAGAATAAACATTTTTGTGACCACTAATCAATATATGTAATTAATTACATCACACTTCATGCTTTTTCGGACTCTCTCATGAACCAGTCATTTTCATTTCACAGGCAGAAAAGGATTTTTCAATCCACAATATAATTGGCCCAGAAGTAATAACATAGAACCACTTTTGGATAAAATGGATATTTGTACAACTGCTGTACAAAATTCACATGCGTTAAAATTCATGGGGAAAAAAGCAATACAAATATCAGCCTCCATTGCTTCTGCACTGAAATGTAAACGGCAATAGAAGAAAATATTCAGAAACAACAGTGACCTCATTAGGTCCAGGGGGCACGGGTGGCCCAGTCGTCTAAGGCGCCGTGATTCGCTCTGCAGAGTTGCGTCCCTTAGGCACGCCAGAAACCTATGATTGTGGGTTCGAATCCCAATTCACCCCGATTATGTTTCTAGGTTTGTGAACACCATACCGTGCTCGTGGGTTTCACCGAAGGGGTAAACATCTGAGACCTGCATCACTTCGGGCTTTCCTCCCACATTAAGCTGACATGCCGTGATATGACTGGAATACTGTTCAAAGCGGCGTTAAACCCAACTCACTCACTCATTAGGTCCAAATGAGGAAATGTACATATTTACTGAACAGAAAGAATTAGAGATCCTGAATATTTTCCGGGACACTGTAGTAAAGACTGAGCACCAAATTTCATAAAAATATCCTCCAAACTTTTTTGTTCAATACACAAATATTGATTTGTCAATGTCAAGGACACAATGGGAACACTTCAGTTGTACAGATAAATCTATATATCCCCCAATAACTTCCCATGGTATTGTCATTTGCAGGATTTCTATCACAAATCAACTGTTACTTAAGTTAGCTTCACAGCACAAACATGTATTGGCTGATGTGTTTTCAGACATAGGTTTGTGTGGGTGTGAAAATTGTGAAAATCGTTTCTAAACCAGTTTGTGAGATTTGACAAACTGGTGAGACACAGAACCAGTCTCTATTCTCATCAATATTTTGGCCAACATTTTAGCATATTGAAACTCAGATTTGACGGATGAATTGTTGTCGAAACTATGTTAGTGAATTACAACCAATCAGAAACTGCGTACACATCACATGATATCAACCTGCGTCTGCTACAAAATGGGGTCGGAATTTGAGAGAAGAGGAAGCAACAACCCAATTCTGTCCTGTTGAAAGTTTGCCAATCTGTGTTTGCAAATTTATGTTGCCTGTTTGAAGCTGCCTTAAGATTCTGACTATTCTAATTAGTTGTCTAATTAGTGATACGTTTGGATTGATTAATAAGATTGCAACTATCTGAAACTAAGATCTTATGATCCCACATGCAGACAATGCAATTAATTATGACCTCAGTGAAATAATCAAGATGGCTCCACACCAGTTCCTGTTATCTACCAAGGTCAAGGACAGTCCGGCAACATGAAACAAATAACATCATCTTTAAAACATTATTCTGAACGTTTTATTGCTTTGGGGCCACCTCAGACAGAAAACTTTGGGTCTGATAACTGTCCAGTTTCCATCCCTCCTACACATTCCATTCATGAATATCTCAAGATTAAAAGTGCAAGATTTCACATGTTCTAACAGTGATTCATATATAAATGATTATCTTCCTTTGGATTTTTTAGGAAGTTCAAGAATGACGGCATTCAATGACATGATTGTGGTGACAGCAGAGTGATATCTTCTCCACATACAGCTCAGAATTGTCATCACCTGCAATGCAGCCTTTCTTACATGGACAGGTTGCTTGCAGTGTTTGAGCGGCATCACATTTATAATGTATAAGGACAGACATTTCACCAAAGCTAACCTATTTTATCATCCAAAACTGGCTTCCAGAGGAGCAATAAGTTAAAAACTCTGAGATTCTCTCACCACGCTGGGCATTTTAAAAAAAATATTTGCTTTGTCCAATAGCAAATAAAACGCAAATGAAAATAAAACTGTAAAAATACAAACTCAATCTCATTAAAATCAGATCTAAGTTCTCGCTTCCGCTGAACAAAGATCTGAGGACATCCCATTACGGGTCACGTCAGAATGACCTTTCGCGAACTTTGACCGACCACTGAAATGAATAACAAGATGTCGATATCAGCCAATGAGAAAGCAGCTTTCATGAGCTTTACGGCACTCATTTCAACCTGGCGACTTCCATTTCAGACAACGCTTGAAAAATATGTTGACACAGTTCTCGATTAAAATTTTGAAAACTGAACAAACGAACATTCCGGAATGTCTAATAAATGGTTGCGATTGTATGGCAGTCCTTCCCACGTACTGTGCAACGCCTCCCCCGTTCAAATGTTTATCCCACGGAAGTGAGAGATAGACGATAATTTTGACGGAATCAGTCGTACGGGCCGTAACTGTCGTTCGGAATACTCTGTTTTAACGTTTTCGAGGTTGCTGATTAGAAAACACATTCCGACTGTCACTTTCATGATTTGGTTAGCGACACTTTGATTGGTCGGATGAAAGGTCGTTCTGACGTGACCCGTAATAGGATGTCCTCAGATCTTTGTTTAGTGATAGCGAGAACTAAGATCTGATTTTAATGAGATTGAAAAAAACTCAAACTTCTGCACGTTTATATATATATAAAGCCAATATTCTACATAAAAGGTTGGTCTAGGTAGCTTAGCATTAAATTCCTTCTGTCAACCCAGGTTTGATTAAGTTCAACATATGTACCCCATTCTTAGCGTCCCCCACTTAGAAATGTGTGGAATATTGCTAGAAGACTGTTAATCTTTATTTACTCACTCTACCATACACTATCTGGATGATTACCCACTGTCAACCTCGAGCACTCTCCACGACAAACGAAATGTTCCACTCCATGCCCACTGATTGGTTAATACAAAGTGCAATGCCCCATAATTGACTTATCACTTCTCCCAAGGTACAAGTCATCTATTTTAAGATTACGTCAAACTTAGACTCCCCCATCACATCTGAGTCTGCTGCAACGCATCCATGCACTCAGGAAGGCACAATACCCAACCATCAAGTCCCCATTTAATCTCCCCCTTTACAATCGAGGAAAAAGGCCCAAAAGTCGCTTCGGAAAACTATCGCCACTCCCTTCAGACAGCTTCCATCGTCACAGAAGATCGTCTAATAACATTTCCCTCCGAGTCCAATGTGTACACGCTAGATTGGCTAAAAAATCTATGAAAGCCCCTTGGTTTGATGATCTCTATCCAACTTCACTGACATATAAAAAAGTTGAAGTTACAAAATGTACAGTGTGCTGCCATTAGAAGCAAATTGCTTGTCCAAGCACATGGTGACTGTGTCGACACTTTGACAGGAAGCAATCCAACAAGTCAAAGATGGCGGACCCTGGAAGCCCCTACTTGTGAACGACCTCATCAGTGTAGGCCCTCATTGGCTGCAAGACAGGGGACATGTTCTACAGTCAATACTCGTGCTTTTCAAGTGTCAAACTTGCGTCACAGTATATTGATTTGGGACACAATTGTGGTCAATGTGAAGTAAATGAAGGTTTTTTGCTCTGAAAGTGATCTCGACAGCCACACTTGAATATCTTCACAGATGCAAAGTATGTAGACAGTCTTGACAGTTTACTCTAATACTGATTACAATCGAAAAAATCCAAAAGTTTCAAAGAATACAATATAGATAAGGTAACATATTTCCAAGATGGCCGCATGACTAGATTTAAGCAAACAAGTCTTTGGGGTAGAGGACAGGTACATAAACCTTTAGTCTTAAAGTGAGTGAGTGAGTGAGTGAGTGAGTGAGTGAGTTAGTGAGTGAGTGAGTGAGTGAGTGAGTGAGTGAGTGAGTGAGTGAGTGAGTGAGTGAGTGAGTGAGTGAGTGAGCACCACAATCAGTCATATCCATATTCACATAATTTTGATCCAAATCAATCTGTTAGAACAGTAAATTAGAGCACAGTCTCCCCTTAAAATAGTCAATGGCTACTGTTTATCAAAAGTCCCAATGTAAGTCATTAACAGATTATGGCCCATTGTTAAAACGCCTGCCTTGTGTACAAAGCAGGAATATGACTGCCTCCCAAGAACCAAGTACTGCATATATCCTCTGGACTAAACACTGAACAAATGTCATGTGTCACTTTATGAGGCTAAAACCAATAACTCATGCAGACATATGAAGCAGACTGATTTTCAATATTTACACATCCAACTCAAATATTTGACGCATGTTTTCAAACACTGGTTCTGCCAGCACAAGGATGCCTTCAGTACAAATGAGAGTAGTGAGTGAGTGAGTGAATTTGGTTTAAAGCCGCTTTTAACAGTATTCCAGTTATATCGCGGCGTGTCAGCTTAATGTGGGAGGAAAGTCCGAAGTGATGCAGGTCTCAGACATTTACCACTTTGGTGAATCCCATGAGCACGGGTATGGTGCTGACAAACCTAGAAACATAATCAGGGCGAACCGGGATTTGAACCCACAATCATAGGTTTCGGGCGTGCCCAAGGGACGCAACTCTGCACAGTGAATAGCGACTGGGCCACCCGGTCCCCCACAAATGAGAGTAGAATACATATGCTACGCTGAAATGGTAAAATGCTTACATGCATAAAACTGTGTATATGGTGAAGAAAGTCAGCACATATAATAACTTGGCATTAAAAAAACTTAAATATAATACAGACCCTGCAAAATACTTCACTACTCCATGTTGAACCGGAGTAAAATTGTCATATTCATAGGACACACAAAAAAGTACTTGATATATCCTCAGGAGACCATGTTCCATCTAATTGTGTATTTCTGTGAATAGACAATGGCTTTTAAAATGGTCTAATGTAACATACAGTGGTCCCTCGCTACAACGCTACCAATGGGGTCCAAATAATTGGTGGGCGTTATAGA